TATCCACCTAAATATATTATATACTTTAAAATTTTAATTATATATATAAATATCAAATTAAATTATATAATTCAATATATATATATAATTTAATTAAATATATTATATTTTAATTTTATATTACAAATAATATAATATAAGAATAATATTTTTAATTAAAAATATTAAATTTCTAATTTATATATTAAAATATATATTATATAATTATATATATATATTATTTCATATATATATATATTATTTCATATATATTAGAATACCAATATTACCAATATTTTATATTATTTATAAATAATTATTCCGGCATGCTAGTTAACATAAAATCTGGCCTTCTATTTAATATATATTTTATTCTAATGTTTCATCTGGCATTGTGTCTAACATTTTCTCTAACATACCTGTTGGCATTTTAGTATGTTAGTAATATTAGACATTTTATCTGCATTTTTTCTGACATTTCATCTGGCGTTCTATCAAGCGCAATTTCTAAAATAGATTAGGACGTTTCATCTGGCATTGTGTCTAAACTTTTCTCTGGCATAAAATCCTGACATTCTATCTGGCATAAAGTCTGACCTCCTATATATTCCTAGATAACAATAGATGACATACATTCTCACATTTTATCTGGCTCAGTGTTCGGGTCCGGTGAGTCTGTGTGAGCTTGTGATAGTGTTCGTATCTGGGAGAGTTTCAGAGAGTCTGCGAGCTCTTGATTGAGCTTGTTGTAGGCGCAGAGTAGGCACACAGGAGGCACAAAGGAGCGCGGAGGAGGGAGGGAAAAGGAGGAGCGAAGGCGAGGAGAGCGCGGAGGAGCAAACTGATATGAAACCTGAAGGTCCTCTCCTGGCAGGTGGGGGACAACTCACTGAATCTCGTTTTCATACAGCCTAATAGTCAAAGCGTGCTTAGGGGCAAAGAATATCTACAGTAAATCTGAACGAGGCATTCTTAGTAGATTTGGGGTTGCACATCTTTTGCAACATTTCGGCCTTTGCAATAAATACCATACCCCCACCACTGCTCACTCTCTATATAATCCTTGCAATCGACTCCTATCCATCCACCTTGTCCCATTTGTGTCCTTTCTGCATTTTCAGTATTTTTTCTGCTTTTGTCTGGCATTGGGGTTCCATCTGACTCGTTTTCCTCTCTACGCAGTGTCTTTCTCGGTGTACTTGCCCTTCTTGGTGGCGCCGCTCTTGCGATCAAGCAGTGCCTTTCTGTCCTTGTCCAACTTCAGCTTTGTGATCATGACCTTGGAGGGGTGAATAGGAATCGGCACTGTCTGGCCATTTGCTTTGTCTCTGGTGACCCTCTCCACATGGATGCAGAACTTCTTGCGGTACACCTGGGTCACCTTGCCCTCACGGTCATGGAAATGACCCCTCACAATGACTACCTCATCGTCACGACGAATTGGCACAGCTCGCACTGAATACTTGGCACGGAGGTCCTTGCTCAAGGGGGCGCTCATGATCTTGCGGCGAATGTGGGAGGGTGCAGTGAAGTGCGCCTTGCGGTTCTTTCGGCGCGACGAGGACACGCTTGCCTTCAGCTTCATGGCTCTGTTGCTGCAAGGAGTTACAAGATTTGAGCCAGACTATCTCCTGCAGTCACAACCTGTAATTGAAAGCGTGGGATTATGATACATAGTGAACTTTGGATGGAAACAAACACAGCCTGCTGCTAATGAAAATGATCGAACAGCTGTTGAGTATGGAGGCACAGAAACTTGTTGGGAACCGGTTCCGATCGCTGGCTGATTTTGTCCCGAGAACATCTACAAAAATCCGAGCACTTTTTCCCTTGCAGCCTGCACCTTGTCTGATCCTCTGCCGAGATGTGAAAACCACTCAGGCAGTGTCTTTCTCAGTGTACTTGCCCTTCTTGGTGGCGCCGCTCTTGCGATCAAGCAGTGCCTTTCTGTCCTTGTCCAACTTCAGCTTTGTGATCATGACCTTGGAGGGGTGAATAGGAATCGGCACTGTCTGGCCATTTGCTTTGTCTCTGGTGACCCTCTCCACATGGATGCAGAACTTCTTGCGGTACACCTGGGTCACCTTGCCCTCACGGTCATGGAAATGACCCCTCACAATGACTACCTCATCGTCACGACGAATTGGCACAGCTCGCACTGAATACTTGGCACGGAGGTCCTTGCTCAAGGGGGCGCTCATGATCTTGCGGCGAATGTGGGAGGGTGCAGTGAAGTGCGCCTTGCGGTTCTTTCGGCGCGACGAGGACACGCTTGCCTTCAGCTTCATGGCTGTTTACTGCACTCTGGGCTACAAGGGTGTGCAAAGGCTCGCAACTCTTCCTACGGTGGGATCAACAGTAGGATCCGCAATTGAGCCGTAAACACATCGCAAGCAATGAATGTCAGCCAGCTCCAAACCACTTGGAAGCTTGTCGTTAAACAGTCGTCCAAGCACTGGGAATTCTCTGGAAGTGTACAGGCAGCCAATCAAAAGTTCATGACACTTTACGCGTTGTGAAATTGAAACATGACTACTGATACCCTGAGGACCTATATACTTTTTTCCACTTTGCCATGTCTTGAGTAGGTGATCCTTGCCAACAATGCATATTTCCATTTGCAAACATGCTTTTTTCTGTCGCGAGCCTGCAGTGTTGTCCTGAAAGGTGTGGCCTACTCAGGCAGTGTCTTTCTCAGTGTACTTGCCCTTCTTGGTGGCGCCGCTCTTGCGATCAAGCAGTGCCTTTCTGTCCTTGTCCAACTTCAGCTTTGTGATCATGACCTTGGAGGGGTGAATAGGAATCGGCACTGTCTGGCCATTTGCTTTGTCTCTGGTGACCCTCTCCACATGGATGCAGAACTTCTTGCGGTACACCTGGGTCACCTTGCCCTCACGGTCATGGAAATGACCCCTCACAATGACTACCTCATCGTCACGACGAATTGGCACAGCTCGCACTGAATACTTGGCACGGAGGTCCTTGCTCAAGGGGGCGCTCATGATCTTGCGGCGAATGTGGGAGGGTGCAGTGAAGTGCGCCTTGCGGTTCTTTCGGCGCGACGAGGACACGCTTGCCTTCAGCTTCATGGCTGTTTACTGCACTCTGGGCTACAAGAGTCTGCAAAGGCCCGCAACTTTTCCTATGATCCGCAATGGAGCCAAAAACACATCGCAAGCATTGGTTTTCAAACACCACACAAGAGCGTAGAGTGTCATGTTGTGCAGTGTGGACCACACTTCAACTTCAAGGCCACCAATTCCAAGAAGTTCTGTTGATCTGTAGTGCCCTAGGATAACAACAGGTTATTTTCTTGCCAATTTCTATTCTATGTGTGCGGAGAAGCAGTGGGTGAAACTTTCTGGACATAGTCTGTCCGCGGATTGATGAAAAAGGATGCTGAGATAGCATCTGCAACATGAGGACTCTGCAACATAATATGTGTTTCTCAGAGATCACTGTGGGAAGACAATGCTGTGGCAGGTGAGGGCTCTCGAGATCAGGAATCCAGCCATTTCAGCCGCTGACCCTCGTTCCACAAGCCCTTTCTTTGCCTGGCACTCCAAGCGAGGACTTGAGTGACTTGAGCTATTGTGTGACCAAGTCTTGTCTCATGTCCCAGCCTATGGGCCTATGGGACACACATCGTAACAACAAAAAGCAACAAAAAGCAACAAAAAGCAACAAAAAGCAACAAAAAGCAACAAAAAGCAACAAAACGCAACAAAAAGCAACAAAAAGCAACAAAAAGCAACAAAAAGCAACAAAATGCAACAAAAAGCAACAAAAAGCAACAAAATGCAACAAAAAGCAACAAAAAGCAACAAAAAGCAAACAAAAAGCAACAAAAAGCAACAAAAAAGCAACAAAAAGCAACAAAAAGCAACAAAAAGCAACAAAAAGCAACAAAAAGCAACAAAAAGCAACAAAACGCAACAAAAAGCAACAAAAAGCAACAAAAAGCAACAAAAAGCAACAAAATGCAACAAAAAGCAACAAAAAGCAACAAAATGCAACAAAAAGCAACAAAAAGCAACAAAAAGCAACACCTGATAATACCTGCAATGACTTTCAAATCTTTCAAGGAATGTCTCCGTCCACACCTGCTTCGATTATCCACGAAAACGCCGATCCCATGTTGGCGGCCCATCTCCCACTGGCCACAATAGGACCTGATCCAAGGAAGCATCCAAAGACTGCCCATGGCTACCTGCTACCTCCAAATCCAGTCACTCTGATCGTTTGAAGACATGGTAGAACCTGCTGAAATTGACGAGTCCCATACTTCTTTTAAACCGAGTCGTTTCCTATGAACAGCGGCAATCTCCACAGGTCACACAACAAAGCCATAGCGCAAAGTGGTTTCGAAAGATTCCCCTAAACTGCAACAGAAAAGGTCGAGTGAGTCGAGTGTTGTTCGCTTCCAAAAAATCCCACGGACTCCGCAGTTCCCACTGTTCGATCTGTTCCACTGTTCGCCTCCCGTCTGGCCAGGTGAAGGTGCCATCGCCAGACTTTCGATCCTCCACAAAGCCGCCCTTGTAGAAACGTCCATCGGGCCAAGTCATGGAGCCGTTGCCGTGCATCTGACGGGCAAAGCGATGAAAATCTGTCACATTCTGTCACTATGTCAAACACATCAGACACAGTTCCAACACCAACAAGCAAACAATACGTCAATATGCCCAGGGAGGGAGGCGAGATGGTTCTGCTGGTTGGGCAGTTCTGCCGCGCAGGAATTGACCTGGAGACAAATACCTCCCAAGAACAGGTTTGCTGCTTAGGTGGCTTTCCTGAGACCACGTGGTCTTGAGGATACTGAGTCGGATACTGTGGTGTGTACAGGCCACTTTGGTGTGGCTGTTATGGTGATGGAAACTCTGTTGAAGAGCACCTGTCTGACGGCTCTTGAAGCTTGGGCATAAATTACATTAAATTACTACCTTGCCGTGGCCTTGAGAATTTGCGATTTTGTGGGGTGCCACCCCCGGATTTTGATGAAGGATGCACCGTTTCGGTGGAGGACTTTGTGGATGTTGGATCTTCGCTTTCATTTCGAAGCTGCACGAGAATGAGTGCATGACTGCATGTTTTTGAGCAAAGAAGGTGGCCCTAGTTGGCACAACGAGTTGCCCTAGATGGCTACAAGTTTTCTCTTTCAGTTTGGGGGTTTCTTCGTCTGATTTGATTTTGGGATCAAGTGTCACGTCCCGTGGGGCGGCCGCCACTAACAAGAGATTCTTCTTCTTCTTCAATACGTCAATATGTCTCGGGTGTGTCACTGCTTGTGTCAACTGTGTGTGTGTGTGATTGCGTGTTGCTGGTGAACTTTGTACATCTTGGCAAATCATGGCACAGCTTGGCAACGTGGTCAAAGTAGTCACATAAATAAAAGTTCAAACGCCAAAACCAAGAGTAAACTCTAGCGTGACCTGACTGTTTCGCCAGCTGCCAGTGTAGACTCTGCCGTCGGCAAAGTGGTAGGTACCCTCGCCTGATCCACTTCTTTGCTGCTCAAACTTCACTCTTTGCTATCATGATCCCCCAGTCCTTCCATCACATCGTTCACAAAGTGTCCAGAATAGCTGGAGCTATCAGAGGATTGGAAGCACCCCAGTCCTTGGAGCGTGCAAGTTGCAAGAAGCTTGTCAACATGTGTGTTCTTTGAGAAGGGTAAACTACTCAGTATACTAATGTATAGCATATATACCGTACTGTATATATCTGTATATCTACTCATACTTTATCATAATTACGAGTGATGGCTAGAAATTACACAGTCTGCCAAGTCGCCATGCTTCATTCCATCTCGGTATTCACCTTTGAAGTGGGACCTGCAAACAAAATTCGCTGTGCACTTTTGATACGTGGAAGTTCAAACTTGCCAAGGCCACCCGTCGGCCCAGGTCTCGAAGCCTTTGCCAGATTTCACATCCTCAATCTTCGATCAATCTTCAATGAATTCACTCAAGCTTCGATCTTTCACCTGAGTCTAAGATTTTGGCCATGTTCCATTCACCTTCATAGGACGAGCCATCTGAATGCTGAAATTTGCCATGGCCGTGAGCCTGCAAGGCTTCCGAGTCTTCTGAGTGCGTAGTTTTACAAGAAATGAATTCACAAAATTCACAATCTTCCACCTTGTCCTCAAACCACTGCCCAGCATACGTGTCGCCATTTGCTTGTCGAAACCTTCGCACAGACTGGTGGGCGAGTACGGGAAAGTGACATGTGCAGGCCACTCAACAGCAGTATCTGAAGACCAAGAATGAACAGTTGCCCCTGCCTGCCAATGCCATGAGCCTTGTTGTGACGGAACTGGCCATCATAGCGGCTACCATCTGGCCTGATCCAAAGATATCCAAAGACGAAGCTGGTCGAACCCCCCAGATCATCTTCGATTCCCTGTCGCTGGAATTCCAAAGAAATATTAGAATTGATCCCCCAGGGAGTTCGCGTACCCACCTTGGTGGGTTTATATGGGCTTATAGCGTTGACACCCTGCTTTCGAAATTTCAAGTGTCTCTCCAAACCTGGCTGTAGACTTATCAGCATCAAGAGAGACTTGCCAACATTACTATTTCTATGTGGATCTATTACTATTTCTATGTGGATCTATTTGAGATCAATGTCATGGGCAGGGCTCACGTCAGGGTCAAGGCTTGCCAATTCTCTCCACGCCACACTGCCATTACTCCAAAGAGCTGATGGAGAACGAATCGAGCGCTCAACCACATCTGATTTTCTTTCCCATCCCCAGCAGTTTTATGTAGCCTATCTAAGCCCTTGCAAGCTGTTATCTTCAAAGGAACATGGTCTTTTCCACTCCTCTTTACTCACTCTAATCTATTGCCACAGTTGCCTGGCCTACTTAAGCTGCCATGGCCATGACGCTGATCCTCAGATAGCTGCAAGTTACTTCCCGCAAATGTTTTTCATTTGAAAAAGGACTGGTGTTTCCACATGCCTTCAGCAAGTCAAATTACCATTTGTAGACTCTCGGCAGTCTTGCTACTGCAAGAAGCACTACTGTATGCCGTGCAAAAGCTGAGTGGTATGACATCAACATTTTTTGAACATAGTTGATGCTTGCTTCCGGCAGGCCGGTCATGGTTGCTCCAAACCCCCCAGAGGAAGAGAGGGAACAAAAGGTGAGCCACATTCGTAAAATGTGGTTCACATCAGGAATCCTTAAAGATATGTTTGCATGTGAAATGGCAAGCATACTACTGGACAGAGAATGGAGGTAGGGACTGTGACACTCAAAAGTATCACCAAAGAATTGGTGCATGACTCAATATTGCCACACTGCGGCAGAGTGTGGCTCTTTAACAAATGCTTGATTACCTGTCTTCCTTGAACATATCACTCGTTTGTCACTTGGAAGGAAGTATCAAGGTGTCTGAACGAGGCTGGAAGGAAATCAAACTCTGATAATAAACTCCTCCTGATCGTCTTGCTATGTCTTGCTTGTGTTTCTCCAAAAAAAAGCAAAGCCCGCATCGGCTCCGCATCTAAGGGATATCAAGAAAAACCTGCAAGTTTCAATGTGTCCGCAACTGCATTCACATATGATGCAGCTGGTGTGTACCCCATTACAGACTTCGACAAGCTTCTGCTCCACCTGCTTGTAGCACTGGTTGAAGGCAATTTCCATCAATTTCCACCATGATTAGATTTGGGCAGGGCATTATGGTTTTCAGGTATCGGTATCGGTTCAACCCTGCAAAAGTCCTTGACATGGAAGGCAAGGGCCTATGAAAATTGTAGGAACTTCCATATCAACCATGGTTGCCCACAGGACAGGTTCATGTGGAGTGCAAAGAGGTTCATAAGTCGAGAGAGATAAAATGAGATATCATACAAACATATACAAACAGACATGGCGTCGATGTGCTAGCAAGTCTGCTAGTTTTGTAGAAGTAGCCTACCGTTTTTGGCCATGGTTCGCTCAACCACTGACCAGCATAGATACCACCATCGTCGAGTTGTACCTTCGTTGCGTCTGATGTCAACAGCATGATGCATTGGCCCAACCCAACATTTAGGATTCATGAGTTCTGTGTGAAACCGCACACGCCTTGAAGCAAACCTGGAAGCAATGGAGAACTACCCAAAAAGTATGATTTTGCCTCATTACGGTATCCCGCCTACTATTGCCCCTCGAGATGCAGATCGAAGCATTGAAAATCACATCAAAAGGCTGTGTCAAAAGAGCCAAAAGAGTCTTTGCTTTCAATGATTCAACTTTGCTTGGCCTCCAAGCACATTGCTTCATCCGGCTCTTTTTCGGTGTCAAGGTGTCAGCAATTTCAGCTGGTGCTTAGGACTGCACAAGCCGAAGCCGGACCACAGGAAATTGCCCGTTCCTCGAACTTCCTGAACGAGATACCGGGTCCATCCGGTGCGGTCCAAACCCTTTCGAAGTCAGCAAGAGATAGGTCGATGTCGTATGATGTCAAGCTAAGTTTGCCAGCACACTGTACTTTGCACCTTTCTCGGTGGCTGGACGAACAGCTTTCACTGGTTGTGACGTTGGCTTCAAGACTGAAAGTGCCAAGGCTGCTTGAATGCGTGTGATTTTATGGGAAAGCTCCGTGCCGCTTGGAGTCACTGCCTCCAGGGAGAAACCACGAAACCCTGACGAACCCTTATCTTCGTTCATTGACATATCTATTGGGACACATGAACTATCCAGTTTGGAATCACAAATTCCTACAGTGATGGATTCCAGCATCTGAACTTACTCCATATATATATGTATATATATATATGTATATATATATATGTATATATATATGTATATATATATATGACTTGATCTTACTTTTCAAAATATATCAACATGGCCAAACACCCCAAACATGAAGCAATGTTCCAATGCTTTCGTCGGCCTCCCTTGAATAGTTGTGGCGAGTCCAGTTCAGTCTAGCATAAGCAAACTCGGGAGTATGCAATCGATAGAACTGATCCAGAATCTCCTCCACTTGCACCATCCACATTCCCTCGTAGCACAGAAGCATTGAACCGGCAAGGATCGCTTGGAGTGCCCGTGCCAAATATGCACGCGCCAACAAAGGCTCCGAACCGGCTGCAGCACTTGCACAGAGTAAGCTACTTGAGACCACAGCTGCCGCACATTCCAAATCGCCAGTTTCGACGAAAGGTCTGAAGCGTTCACATGCAGGTGCAAGTTGCTCGGCACTGGGTAGGGAGAACAGAAGGTCTGTTACCAGCTGTTGTCCAGACTCGAAGTGTGCACCACACATGCACGGCAAGAACCTTTCACGCAGCATCCAACTCACTTGGAGGGCCTCCTCAGATAAGCCATAGCTAGGATCTCCGCACCCCCATCTCCTGCAACCCTCAAAGCGCGGCCAGCCAATCAGCTGACGCTCTTTGGCTTCAATCCTTGAGCTTGGAGTGAATATTCCATACCTCAAGCCAACGAAGGGGGACCTGGCTCTTTGTACTGAACACTCTGCTGTGCTTTCCAGCACGCTGCAGTGAAGTTCCTGCTCCAAATAGAAGCGGAGAACCTCTGAACCACATGTCCAGTCCAGTTGAGAGCCTGGGACAAAATGAGTGTTTTCAGGGCATGATGATTGGATCACACTCATCACAGCCCGATGAAGCGTCAATGGTCCCATCCATTCGCTTTTTGCAGCTCCATCGACCCTTGGATCTGCTCTCCGTGGAACAGCTCCCCTGTACCACTTCCGGAGTTCTACGAGAGTTTCATGGAGGACTTCGCTGTATGGAGTGCATGCCATGATGGCATTTAGCATTGCACCATCAGCAGTGAACGCTGAGAGAAACGTGGTTGAAACTCCTATCATTGTTGTGAGAGGCACCAGCAATTCTACGTCCAAGTCAACGTAGAAACCACCTTCCCTGTATAGAACAGCTGCTCTGCATATGTCTCCACGAAAACTGCCATGGAACTCTCGCCTAAACATCCCAGCGAGCTCAGAATCGTAGTAGTAGGAAATGTAGGAGTAGCAATCTGCGTCACTAAACCACTGAACATTGAGGCCAGGGTTTGCCGCAATGATTTCTTCTACATTATGTCGAATCTCCAGTGGTAGATCATGCAGAAAGGCGCCCGGACCCGTCAAAATGAGCTGTCGCGGGATGATGGCGTGATGCATACGCCGCAAGGGATCATGCCAGCGATGCTACGATGCTACGGTTGGCAAAACAGAAAAATCATAAAGAAACCCTGGTATCTCGTCCCTTTGTGCATTATTTTGTATTTGTGTGGCTAGAAGGAATTTTGGGTTTCCAACTTGGTCCTCAAGACGTTCTTAGCAGCTAAAACGGTCTCTTGAGAAGATTGCTAGACGGATTGTAGGTTTGGTTGTGGCTTGCAAATGCGATGCTGCTTACAGATTTTGTGATGGACCTCTGAAAAAGAGACTGCCATAGAATGCCATGTTTTGTGACCAACACCAGATCCTCTCATAGCCTGGTCCTAGCGGCAACTTTGCCGCGAACTACGCTGTTGAACCCGACAAACAAATTCAATTTTAAACATGTCTCAGTTATGTGCGGCACAGAGGCTTGCAAACAAAGGGGACTGTTTATTTCATTCAGAAAAATCTCTGGCTGCACTGCAAACGATTGAATGACTCACAGGTATCTTCAGCGCGTGTGTCTGCATACAACTCTGTGACAATCTGTCTTCATACGCGCACCATTCCTCGCTCTTGTACACCATCGGCTTTGGTCAATGGCTCGTCCTGCCCATGACCCACATGAAATGAACACAAATCAATACAATCAAAGAATGTGAGACTTAATATGTTTGCAGATACAGTCACCGATCCATATATTAATGAGATTGTCTGCGTTGAATGTAAACAAGGAAAACTGATAGAAGAGACTTGGTCGCATCAGTCCCCGGGGCACCGCTCTTCTTTGTCAGGGTCAAGGCCCTGAGGCCCTTGGAACCTAAAGTGAAATGCAATTTCAATGAATGTTCAATGAGTGCTCAAAGTTCAATGAATGTTCATGGAAGCGGAACCCAACCTCGCGGGTCACTCAGTGCAGAGCCACATTGATTGGCCATGCGACACATTTGTGGCCTGGCAAATACTTGCGGACTGAGAGAATCTCAAATCTCAAACATGAACCCTTTGGGGCTCTATTAGACCTGAACGAAGGAAGTTTAGAAATCAAATTTCCGACAAAATGGACAGATGGACAAGCAGAGGTGGGAAGAGTCAGAGTAGAGAAGAGAAGAGAAGAGGAAGAGGAAGAGGAAGAGGAAGAGGAAGAGGAAGAGGAAGAGGAAGAGGAAGAGGAAGAGGAAGAGGAAGAGGAAGAGGAAGAGGAAGAGAAGAGGAAGAGAAGAGGAAGAGGAAGAGGGAGAGGAGAGGAGAGGAAGAGGAAGAGGAAGAGGAAGGAGGAAGAGGAAGAGGAAAGGGAGAGGGAAGAGGGAGAGGTGAGAGGGAGAGGAGAGAGGGGAAAGAGGGGAGGGAGAGGGAGAGGGAGGGGGAAGAGGGAGAGGGAGAGGACGAGGAAGAGGGAAGAGGAAGAAGAGAAGAGAGGAGAAGAGAAGAGAAGAGAAGAGAAGAGAAGAGAAGAGAAGAGAGGAGAAGAGAAGAGAAGAGAAGAGAAGAGAAGAGAGGAGAGGAGAAGAGAAGAGAAGAGAAGAGAAGAGAAGAGAAGAGAAGAGAAGAGAAGAGAGGAGAGGAGAGGAGAGGAGAGGAGAGAGGAGAGGAGAGGAGAGGAGAGGAGAAGGACGGAGAAGGAGAAGGAAAAGGAAAAGGAGAAGGAGAAAGAGAAAGAGAAGGGGAAGAGAAGGGGAAGAGAAGGGGAAGAGAAGGGGAAGAGAAGGGGAAGAGAAGGGGAAGAGGGGAAGGAAGGGAAGAGACGAGACGAGAAGAGAAGAGAAGAGAAGGGAAGGGAAGGGAAGGAAGAGACGAGAAGAGAAGAGAAGAGAAGAAGAAAGAAGATCAGAGAAGAGAAAGAGCCAGAGGAAAGAAGATGCAGGTGCACGACAAGGTAGAAAAGTCCCGAAACAGTGCATTTTTTCCAGTGATTTAAGGGTTCAGGGGGTCGAAAGCAGGCTCGCTAAAGCGGCGGGCGCGGAGCCATCTGGCCAGATGAGAGATGAAAAATTGCACAGCGTCGTGGCGCGAAGAAAAAAAAAAGACGGTCTCAGACCACTTTTGGGAAGTTGAGATGATGAAAAAGTGCACGCCGTTTTGGCGCGAAGCACATTTCGAAGTCAAAAGTGTAAAAAAACTGACGGTCTCAGACCACTTTTGGAAGTTGAGATGATGAAAAGGTGCACGCCGTTTTGGCGCGAAGCACATTTCGAAGTCAAAAGTGTAAAAAAACTGACGGTCTCAGACCACTTTTGGAAGTTGAGATGATGAAAAGGTGCACGCCGTTTTGGCGCGAAGCACATTTCGAAGTCAAAAGTGTAAAAAAACTGACGGTCTCAGACCACTTTTGGAAGTTGAGATGATGAAAAGGTGCACGCCGTTTTGGCGCGAAGCACATTTCGAAGTCAAAAGTGTAAAAAACTGACGGTCTCAGACCACTGTTGGAAGTTGAGATGATGAAAAAGCGTACGTTGTGGCGCAAAGCACATTTCCAAGTCAAAATGTACAAAACACCCCGTTCTTGGAGCACTTTTGGAAGTTGAAAAGTGAGCAAAACGAGAATGCGTTTGTAGCATTTCCAAAAACGATGGCAGGCGTGGTACATGTTAAGAGGGTCTGCAAAGATGCATTTTCCGTGGCAGGCGCAGAGCAAAAGACATGCCAATGAGAGATGTTCTGTTAGGAGGTCAGGGCGCTGATTTCCTGAGAGAGGCTGCATTTTGGAGCATGAGATCTTCAGGTTTGCTAAGATGATTGTGCGTGACAGGTGCAACACTTCGTATAACCTGGCCTCACTTTTTCGTGGCAGGCGCAGTACTTTAGACAGATGGATTGGAAAAATCGCCAGACGCATTGGTACGAGGCCGCCAGCTCTGCACTCAACTTTCCATTCTTGAAGGAAGTTTTGCAGAATTGCTTCGTTTATGATGTTGTCAACTTCGAAAATTGAGGAAGTGTGGCAGAATTGCTTCATTCTTGACGTTGTCAAGTTGGAAAATTGTGGAGCTTCGTTTTTGACGTTCTCAACTTCGATCATTGAGGGGGTCTCGCAGAATGGCTTCGTTTTCAAGCTTGCAGATAGACAGATAGAGAGATAGACAACTACAACTACAACTAAAACTACCACTACACTACACTACTACTACAACTACAAATATGCTACACTACATTACACTACGCTAATTACATCTAATTACACTACACTACACTACACTACACTACGCTACGCTACTTGCACTACAACTACAACAACAGCAACTGCAACTACAACTAGAACTACGACTACACTACACTACACTGCACTACGCTAAACTACACTAAACATACCACACCACAACTGCAACCGCAACTGCAACTACACTACACTACACTGCTTACACCACAGTACAACTACAACTACAACTGCAACTACAACTGCACTGCACTACACTGCACTAATTACACTACACAACACTACAACCACAACCACAACCACAACCACAACTACAACTACAACTACACTACTTTACGCTACACTGCACTAGACTACGCTACACTACACTACACCACACTACACTACGCTAATTACACCACACCACACCATAACTACTACAACTGCAACTACACTACACTAATTGCACTACACTAATTACACTACATTGCAACTACAACTCCGCTACACTACACTACGGCTACAACTGCAACTGCACTACACCACACTACATCCAGCAGTTGTGGTGAGGTGACCGCTGCAACCATTCCAGCCACTCCAAAAGAAAACATCTCCAACCACCTTTCAGTCCATCAGTGGATTCGCTCTGCCATGCATGCATCACAACAACTCACCTCTCCTATAGGTTTCCTATTCTTGAAACTTCCGCCATCGCCTTGCGCGGTGCTACTGGTAAAATATGTTCACCTCTCAGCATGCTAGACAATTTTGAAGTCCAGTCTGAGCTTTTTTCACCTAGGATACTCAAGCTTCCACACAACGAAAACTAGATGCTACATGGAATGTGAATTCAAATGGCTTTTGTGAATCATGCAGGCCGCACAGTCTCAAAGGCGTCACTAGCACAGCATGTTCCACACCTCACCAAGCACCAGTCGTTGCTATGTCACTCTTGCACTCAGCCAAGAGGTGGTCTGTGTGAACCCCACATCCCAAGTGGAAGTGTCATCCCAGTCCCAGGGATGAAAAATGCAATGGAAAGGCTGTGGACTGACTCAATGCTTGTGAAATCAACCACTTTGGGCCTGAGATATGACATTGCCAGAGAAAGCTCATCCTCCTCCTGTTTTCACAGAGTTCGCAGATTACCAAGCCTAACAATGTGCAAATTTATGATAATTTATGTACATTTATGTAGTAGTTATGTATCCCTGTATTTTGATCTGCAAAATACACCACGTGTGCTGCAACGAGGACAAACCGATAAGTCAATCCAAAATGTCCAGCTCCTCCATGCGCAATGCCGCAATGCAGTGAGGGCACGACTGTAGTGGCAGGTGAAGGTGATCTAGAAAGCCTAGGCTAGACACCTAGACACGTGCGGCACTTGTCTAACATTCAACATATCACAAATGATTGTCATTATCTTTCCATATCTATCCTTACCCCTTGGATTTTGCGACACTTTCTTCATTCTCCTCCAGAATCCTATGGGGTGGCGAATCCTGAGTGAACCTTTGCAATTCGGCAAATTGGGGCAGTTTCTCAGCTTGAGCCACAGTTGGCCACTGGCAATGTCGCTTTGTGGCAAGACATCTTGAGTCGCAGCAACGATGATAACAATATGATAACAATGCATGAAATTGTATGACCCGTATCAAGTGGGAGAAAGGAGGTCCAAGATTCAGAGCCACGCGGATTCTTGTGGAACTCATGCGAACAATCAGCAAGCAAAGGTCATTTTGTTTTAACGCAGTGAACAAACAACTCTTGTGGCAGCGGACAGCTATTCTCTAATTGAGTCAGCATCGCGCATGCACGTTGAAGCTTAGAAGTTGCAGGGATTCCCTATAGATGTGAGTGCCTGTTCTGAAGCACGTGCGCACAGTTCCTTGTTGCCAAAAAATTGTCTTTGCAGCAAAACATACCTCAATCTTGGCTCCCCAAATCTTACGTCTCGAACACTCACATCTTAAGATCTTTTGAAGATGGGATTCCTCCTGCTTGAAAATGTAGCTTGAAACAGCCATTCTGGAGCACAGCTGTCTATGCCTTAGCTTTTCCAGTGGCTGCCCGAAGCTGCAAGTCCGGCCAGGGATCTTCTCTCCTGTGATCCACATTTGGCGGCACCAAATGCTCACACTGGGCGATACTAGGTGGCTCTGGCTAAGCTCCGCTGTTTTTTCCCCACAACTTTGTGTGGGGTTCTTGTTTTTGATTCTGTATCCCGGGCTCCTTCTCCTTCTCCTCCTCCCGCCGCCTCCCTTTCACACTGTCACATACCATAAATTTAACACACACAACTTTGTCACATACCATCTCTCACATACAATGACTTCACACACACAAACTTAACATACAATAATTTCACACACACTCACACACACACAACTGCGTCACATACCATCTCTCACATACAATGACTTCACACACACAAACTTAACATACAATAATTTCACATACAATACTTTCACACACACAAATTAACATACAATAACTTCACACACACACTCACACACACACACACAACTTTGTCACATACCATCTCTCACATACAACAACTTCACACACACAAACTTAACATACAATAATTTCACACACACTCACACACACACACAACTGCGTGGCACTTGGTGACATCCACCGTCATTTCTCGTGGCAGGCGTGGCACAAATTCACATCCACGGTTTTTGCGTGGCACAATCTGACATCCACGGTCGTTTTGCGTGGCAGGCGTGGCACTCATGGTACTGGGTGGCGCGCTTGGTCCGGATTTGTCGCCTGTGACGCCGCGGCACTTTGCGTGGCAGGCGTGGCATTTGGTGACATCCACGTTCATTTCACGTGGCAAGTGTGGCACAAACTCCCATCTACCATCGTTTTGCGTGGCAGGCGTGGCACTCATGGTACTGCGTGGCGCGCTTGGTCCGGATTTGTCGCCTGTGACGCCGCGGCCTTTTGCGTGGCAGGCGTGGCATTTGGTGACATCCACGTTCATTTCACGTGGCAGGCGTGGCGCAAACTCACATCCACCTTCGTTTTGGGTGGCAGGCGTGGCGCTTATGGCATTGGGTGGCGCGCTTGGTCCGGATTTGTCGCCCGTGACGCCGCGGCTGTTTGCGTGGCAGGCGTGGTACTTGGTGACATCCACCGTCATTTCACGTGGCAGGCGTTGCACAAACTCACATCCACCGTCGTTTTGCGTGGCAGGCGTGGCACTTATGGCACACCTTCGATTTGCGTGGCACGCGTGGCACAATCTGACATCCACGGTCGTTTTGCGTGGCAGGCGTGGCACTCATGGTACTGGGTGGCGCGCTTGGTCCGGATTTGTCGCCTGTGACGCCGCGGCACTTTGCGTGGCAGGCGTGGCATTTGGTGACATCCACGTTCATTTCACGTGGCAGGTGTGGCACAAACTCACATCTACCATCGTTTTGCGTGGCAGGCGTTGCACTTATGGCATTGGGTGGCGCGCTTGGTCCGGATTTGTCGCCTGTGACGCCGCGGCCTTTTGCGTGGCAGGCGTGGCATTTGGTGACATCCACGTTCATTTCACGTGGCAGGCGTGGCGCAAACTCACATCCACCTTCGTTTTGGGTGGCAGGCGTGGCACTTATGGCATTGGGTGGCGCGCTTGGTCCGGATTTGTCGCCCGTGACGCCGCGGTTTGCGTGGCAGGCGTGGTACTTGGTGACATCCACCTTCATTTCACGTGGCAGGCGTGGCACATGTCGCCCGTGACGCCGCGGCTGTTTGCGTGGCAGGCGTGGCGCTGTGCTAGGGATGATTACCAGCCACAGGGCATGCAGAAAGAGTTTGCAAAATTTGCGGTTGCGCTCGAAAGAGTGCAGAACATTACGTTGGTCAGCGGAAGTATGGTGAACACACCATCGCTTTGATAGCATGTCGAGACAAGGCCATCAGAGCCTGGTGGAACTCGAAGAAAGCGGAGCAACTTACTCACACACGAACCTGCTCACAAATAGCTTACCCCACATACATACATACATACATACATACATACATACATACATACATTACATTACATACAGACAGACAGACAGACAGACATACATATATACATACATGCACATATCACTTCGTCACACACAACTGTTTCACCACGTCCTTTGTCTTTCCTTCTTCCCCGTCCCCGCTGCAACCTTTGGTGCTCATTATTGGAAGAAGTTGATTTGTGGGGTTATCCGGTCCTTTAATTAGAGACTAAACGTGGCTCAGTGATCTTACCAATGGCTGAAAGGGGAAGACACGGGCAAAGTTGCACAACGTTGCACAACGTTGGCGAAAGTCGTCAAAGACCAAACTGTCCGATGGTCCTTAAATGGCCCGTTGTCCTCAGGTTGTCCTCCGATGTCCTCCGGTCCTGGCCTTGTCCGGGGGCCGACTCTTTGGTGCGGCCTTTGACTTTGACTTTGCTTTGCTGCCTTTGCGATCTCGCTCCAGTAGCATCTTCACCTTAGGTCAAAGCACTCGTCTTGTCACAGAATCTCCTCGGTGGACCCTGTAAGCGAAATCAGATGAAATCAGTTCTTTTATGTTACCTTTAATTGACTTTATCATACTTTATTCATCAAAGGCAATTACAGGGCTTCGCGAAAGTGGTCAGTGTATGCCAACGTCTCCTCATTCTGACTTCTGCTTATTCTTCAGGTCAAACGGTGTGATAACAAAGAAAACATGCGGTCCAAACTGGGAGTGAAATTCAAGGCTAGCTCACCTTGCAGCATTTGTGCGGCTATATGTTGCATCGACAATAGTTTCCTCAAAAAAAATCTCAGGATTGATTTCACTCATTCGCAGACTGGTAATCTCTGTGTGGTGTCTAGTCCAACTAGCAAAAAGCAACAATACGCTGCAATCTCAGGATACTCTGGAAATCTTGGGATATTGTAACATCTCAAGAGCTTCGGAAAAACTCAGGACATCCGAACAAAGTCAGAACATTCAGAGTATCAGGTTCTTCGGGAAACAGCGGGATATTCAAACAATCTCAAGTTCAAGACCTTTAGAACAAAAATGCGAAAGAGAAGGCCTATTGCAGATGCAAGTGAAAGGAAGGAGTTTCTGAAAAGGAAGTGAAAAGCGAATGCATTTTCCACAAACGGAGTTAGAAGGCAGGAGGTTTTGCACTGCATGCAGAAAAAGAACTTGCTGGGCATCTTTCTTTGGAGGGGTCCCCTCTGATTCGCGTTTTGACACGCCTGAAATCTTAAAAATATATCCCAAGTCAGGATGGAATCAAATAACTCAGCAAGAGAAACCCAGGACCAACTGGTATGGAAAGGAACATCAGTTTTTGACACCATACGCAACGTTTCTAATGTCAGGATTCGTCAATCCTGTTACTCTTAGGGTTGGCCTTGTCATGTTTTGACCTTGCTCGCCGGGCGCTAGAAATCTTGGGTTGAACTACCACTTTTGCAAGTCAAATCCATGGGGGTGCTGTGGGGCTCCATTGTGCAACCGTTAGTTCGTGCTTGAAATTGATCCAGCGTGGTTTGGTGCTGCTGTCTTTTCTTGGAACTTAGACTTAATATAGTACGTACTTTTCCGGTGTTGAACCCTCTTGAAGGTTCAGAAATGGGCTGTTCAGGGTTTGGCCAGGAGAAATCCATAGAACTCCTTTCTGCCAGTTGACCTTCACAGTGGACATTTCACGTGGACAATGTGGATACTTTGTCTTTGGTATATAAAGGAAATGCAAAGTTTGGGCAGGATCCTTGATCCCTAAGCATCTACATGGCACAAGATTGACAGCAAAGCAAAAGAAACAAGTCAATACAAATCATACATCACCACACATCACCACCCGAGATATCACAGGGTTACCACGGCCATCTCATGCCATGTCCGGCCTCAATGTGACTGGAGCTTCGCAGCTCCTGCCACTTCTCCTCCGTTTCCAGTGGTTGTCCTTCTGCTGTGAAAAAACTCAAAGATTCCAACGGTTTGCTCCACAACTGGGATAGCTTTGTTTGCAGCTCTGACAGAGACGCGTCACTTTTCAAGGACAGAGTCTTCACCTCAAAGAACGATTCGACACACACCAAACTTCACTTAGCACAAAACCAAACAAAACCAAACAAAACAAAAAAACAACAAAACCAAACAAACATATCAATTCAATGATAGTAAATGCACAAATCTTCACCCAAGGAAAACCGTCAAGAGTATTTCACAAAGCAAACAAAATACAACCGATTAAAACATCGGCTGAGCTGGAGCGAAGGAACGAAAGGTCCACACAGAGAACGAATGCCAATCTGCTTCTCTTGGACTCGAACTTGCTGTAAACGAGAATTAGCATCTAAAATTGCCTGCGTAGTGACGCTGTTCTTTCGACCGTCTGGCATCTTCACAGCATCTTGTACAGCCTGCATCAGATTCACAGCCTGTTCCATCTCAGGTAGCGTAGTTGCGCTTTTAGATTGGTCTTCCGCACACATCCCCAGTCTTAGTGAGTGGCTCAGAATTGCAGCTTCACAGGGCTCTGTTGAAAGCAAGCGTTGAGCTTGTCGTACTGCTACAGCCAACAGAACTGGATCTGGGCCTGCATTGTTGGTATCCTGCAAAATTTGAATACATCGTAGGCGAGCATCAATGCATTCAGCATTGGCAAACGACTCCCTTTCCTCCAACGTGCCAGTTTGTTCCGAACTTGGCTTTGAAAGTTCTCTGAAAATCTGGTCACACAAATCTACCAATTCTCTTTTCTCCGAAAGTCCAGTAAATGAATGCCCTTCGGCTGAGATGTACTCCTTTAACTGGGATACTGGCCAACTGCTAAAGTCAAGTGTAGACATTGCCTCCAAAACAGGATCTAATTGAGGAAATCTCTTCAGCACCTCGGCCAGCTCTTTATACGACTTCACTATGTCATTCAGCTCGATAATCTGAGCTGCTTCTTGCAGAGACATCTCGGCTCCACTTGAGGATTTAATTAGCCTCTCTCGAGCATCTGCTGCCATCTCTGAAAACCCTGATCCCAGCTTTGGAGACTTTGGAGATTCTTCCTTAGGTGCTGACATCATGGCCTCCTTGATTGGCGTCCACTCGTTTTCCTTCCCAAGGAGCCAGTTTAGAAACTCCTCATAATCCAAGTTCTCATCCCCGTTGGAGTCTGCAGCCTTTAGCAGAACACTAGCGACTCCCGACGCCCATTTTGGGTGAAGCTTTTGCAAAAGGCTTGTGAGTTCTTTTCGGCTGAGAAAACCATCCTTACTGTACATCTTGAAGAGTTCCCGCAATTTGTCTTGTGCTTCGGCAGGCACCTGCAACTCTTTTCCCTCTCCAGGCACCAATGAATCCTTCCAATCCACTGCACGCTCCAGTTGAAGAACTGTCACCTCAGAGACAGATCCCCTGGTCGAGAATCCAACCACACCAACACCAATCCAAAAAAATTGACAGATCACAATAGATCACAAACCAAAGAGAACTGTACTTAGCATAAGGTGGCATTCGTTTTTGACATTTTTTGAAATTTCTCGATTCATTTTCAATCAAAAAATGACTCATTTCATGACTTCGTGCTTCCTTGTGACCCGCAACAGCTCATGATCCGTGAGCATGTCGCTCAAGGTGGGCCGTGTAGCAGGGTCCTTGACCAACATAGCTGCACAAATCTCCTCCAGCTCAAAGGAATATCCTTAGAAATCTTAGACATTCTTAGACCAGGGTTTTGAACGGTCCTGGTGCCTGCCTATTCCTTGCTAAAGCAAGAGCAACTTCAGCTAGCACAAGCTAGCTTTTGTAACTTATATAGCTCTACTTTCCTCACAACATTTTGAGAGTAACTTTCGATCTTTACTGGCCCTGATCTCTCCATATCTGACCATTGTGGTGAACGCGTTTGACAATGTCTTGTCTGTCTCCATATTTGCGAGTAATTCCCAGCAGCAGCGACTCTTGCGTTTCATTCTCTGGGTCTGGGAATAGTGCGTCGGATTTTGCTGAGCCCAAGAACCGGAACGGAACTGCAATCCTGGAACCCTTAAACCTTGGAACCTGCTGTTGGGTTACAAGGCCGGGTTAATGTCCTAAGGATCTTACTCTTGCAACGGCAAGAAGTGAAGCTTCGAATCAAAACCAGAGGGATATACTTCAAACCACGCCTGTCTTTGGATACTGCTTGCGGAGCGGGGGCAACCCCAAGGTACTTTCGCTTGAGGCCGCTTTCCAAATATCTCGGGGAATGAGCACCATCCCAAAATTTCTCCACATCGTAAAATCTCGCATTCATATTATGGATGCATCCTGAATGGAAGAAGAGGGCAAGGTGTATACGCAGCGTCGACTTCCTCTCGACACACCTGACCTTCGGCAGCTTCCATGGCATGCAGCCAAGTGTCCCAATTCCTTTGGTAATCTGGGTGCCTCTTTTGCACTGGAGATCTGCCTCGAAACAGCATCTCAGAGCAGGCTGAACAGAGTGTATATATAATATGTATAACCGAGGACCCAGGAAGCAAATCACTTACCAAAAAAACATCCCATGTAAATGTACATGCATGCATATATAAATATATGTATGCATGCATGCATGCATGGATGTATGGATGGATGTATGTATGTATGTATGTATGTATTTATGCATGTATGTATGTATGTACGTACGTACGTACGTATGTATGTATGTATGCATGTATATTATGTATGTATGTAAAAATAAATCAATATAATAAATGAATTAAAAGATAAACAAATAAATATCCTGGTTCGAATTTCGGGGAAGGGGTCGCACCTGGCTTCTTGTAAGCATAAACTGAGGGGATTTTGAAAACCTCTATAAAACGGATCGGTTTTTGGGAGTTTTGGCCCTTACAATAAGAATAGGTTTTTAGCACCCACATTCGACTCTAAAATCCGTCATCATTTTGTAAGGTGACAACTTTCTTCATGATATGAATGTTGAGTCCCGCTTTATGACCTTTTTATAAGAAGTTGTGATTTCAGAACGCATTTTTGGATATCATTTTGTGAGGCAACAACTTCTGGTTCCCTGCTTTTTTCCCGGTCTCGTTGATTTTCGAGCAGCCTTTTTGTAAGGATTCCTTTTCTTTGCCACCTTTTGTATTTTTGTATATTTGTTTCTTTGGCATCATTGCCTACCAGAACTCCTGTCATGATGTCTTGCGTTTGTGTTGTCACATGAGTACCAAAAGAACACATAAAAGTTGAACACGAAAGAAAATGTACAAAATGAAAATACGAGATAGCTGTGAGCGTAGCCACACTTACAACTTGCAAAAGAACCTTGGCCGACACAACGCCCGTTGAGAAGAAAGTTGGTGCCTCCACCAAATCCAAAAAGAAATTGAACTCAAAATGGCTGCCATAAAACTTGGACTGCACCTTACAAAATGACAAGGTGCTTGTAGCCACAGGACGCTGCCATGAAAGGGTGTTTCACATTTTGCTGTGTCAGCGCTGTGGTTTCGAAAATAGCCAAAACAGCTATCAGACGATTGAGTCGAATCAAAAACATGTACAGATCTGAACAATAATTTGTACCAATGCCTAAAAAGCATATATTCTTACAAAAAATGGTTCTTCTACTCTTGACGACATCTCCTTACAAAATGTCATTGCACACCCTGCTGACTTTTGTGATGTTCAATAACAGCATCTTGAGCTTACAAAAGCATCAAAAAAACTAACTGGATGGTCTTATAGAATGAGTTGGCCCCTCAAAACTCTTTCAAAATGAACACTTCAAAATGTACAACTTTGCCTTTTAGGTGTCCTGTTACAAAATGCCCCGGTTAGGGGGGCTTCTTGTAACTACAAAATTCCATTTCTTAACCATTTATGAGAGGGTTGAACGGGGATAAATAAATAAATAAACTAAATAAATAAATAAATAGATAGATAGATAGATAGACAGAAACGTTTCTGTTCATTTCTTAAACATCCCTAGCAAGTCAAGTGTAAAGCAGTGCTCGCGGATATGATCGAGGCGCTCCACTAACTCCAACACATCAGCGGAGACATAAAGCTTCTCTTGTGCACACCTTGGTGCTGACCCTGCAGCCAGATTGCGTGCATAGAAAACACCAGAAAAACATTGAATGATTAAATTATAGGTATTCATAAGTCTTGTTCTCACTATTTAGTTGCTTGTGAAGATACACTCTCAGTGTGAGGGTGCAATCTCAACTCCAGGAGTTTTAACGAAAACTAAAAATAAACGGGCTACATACAACTTAGACTTAAACCAAAATAGCTTTAGGGTGAGTCAACTCCTGTTTGGTGGATTCTTGTGGAACTCGGTCTGTTGTAAGGAGACTCCTGGAAAATCCACATAGATGTCTAGATGTATTGAGATGTATTGTCATGCCACTAAAAAACCCCAAAACTTTGCTTTTGAGCTCAGGCGCATCTCGTACAAAGTTGCTCCAAGGCTCCATACTTCGGTTTTGGGACCGTACTTCTGCATGCGGGTCAGTTCTGGACTCATGTATGCCTGAAAACAAGCCAAGCATAGCCAAGCAGTTCAAAAAGTGTGCAGCAGACAAACGGGACCCAAGCATCAAAGTTGATTGCGAGTAAATCGAATATCAATGCACATAAGCTGTCACTCCAGTCTCACGGTCGAGAAGCCAATGTCCGAGAGTTCACTGTTTCCATCCATTTTTGCTCGGTTCTTGATAAAAGTTCACTGTTGACAATACTCAGGCCCCAAGGCAAAAGAACCAGGGCGGCCTGCGTACCGACGACTGTTTGGCACAAGCTGGCAGTGGATCTTAGATTCTTGGAGATGCCAAAATCACCCAGTCGCACGGATTGCAAATCCTTTCAGCAAAGGTCGCAGTGAGAGATAATGGGGGACAATTCTCACAATCTGCGGAATGCCGCCCCAATTGTCAACCCTTGAGCTAAAAAGGCATGAGAATGTGAACATGTGAACTATCGTTTTCTCGTTGTGCTTGTGAGAAGCTGCCCTCAATAACCAGTCCTCTGTGAGGAAGACATTGGAGGGCTTCAAATCTCCTCAGCTTTCAGACCACACCTTCATGGTTTGTGTGAGTTGAGTTTGACTACACCCAAAACACTACAATAACGATACCCTCAACCATCAACAACCATTAACATAATATCAGAAAATCCATAGGAGGTGGATCAAGGCAGCATCATGAAAATTCATGTGTGACAAGAATCTATGGAGGATCTTCGCACGCTTGTGACAATATTGAAGCGCGTGGGATAACTGCGCTAGCCTTTGCACGTGGCTTCAAAACATCAAAAAAGGTCGGAGCTCACGATGAACTCAAACTGCTTCTCCGCGCCCTTGTTGGATGAGCCCGAAATCCGCCGACCCCTGCCGACGGCACGAGGGGAGCGCATCAGAGAAGCAATTACTAGCAACAAGCGTCGAGGAACTTCGCCGCCATGGTTAGCATGGTGTTTCGGTGTGGCGAAGGCAACGTTTTGGAGGCTTGAAGGCTACAATTTGGAGCTAGAGTTTCTTGCCGGTTCAGAAAGCAACGTTAGGCAGAGGCAGCCGCTCACTTGGACATTGGTTTTTGGATCACTTGAACATTGGACGCTTTGGAGACATGGACACCCCTCACACCTTTAGGGCTTGACACTTGCCGCACTAAGAGGCCCAACGCCTGGCCCTTAGCAGAAACCTTGACATTCTGGGCGATCATCTGCTTCTCCTGCTCTATCGGCCTTCAAGTGAAAGGACTGAAACTTCTAATTTCTACAATTTTTTTTGAAAACCGCACGCTGTAAACGACAATGAACGACATTGAGGCCTCACCCCTGAAACGAGTTGCAGGCGCCTTCTGCAAGGAATGGCATCGGCATCTGTGCTGGGGACAGGGGGGGGGGCATGGGGACATTGGGGCATGAGGCCCGAGCACAAGAACCGCATTTCATCAACAACTCTCACACCTTCAGGGTTTGACACTTAGGGGACAGGGGGCGGGGACATGGGGACATCGGGGCATGCGGACATGGGCACATGAAGCATCAACAACCCCAACCTTTGGGGTTTGACACTTACAGGACAGGGGGGGCGGGGACATGGAGACATTTGGGCATGGGGACATGGGGGCATCATTGTGTTTCGCTGTGGCGAAGGCAACGTTTTGGAGGCTTGAAATTTCTTGTCGGTTCAGAAAGCAACGTTAGGCAGAGGCAGCCGCAGGCGGAAGGTGCCGTTCGTGCCACAATAACATTGTATTTCCGTGTGGCGAAGGCAACGTTTTGGAGGCTTGAAGGCTACAATTTGGAGCAGAAAGCAACGTTGGGCACAGGCAGCCGCAGGCTAAAGGCCTGGTCCATCCTTCAGTACCATGGTGTTTCGGCGTCGCAAAGGCAATGTTTTGGAGGCTTGAAGGCTGCAATTCGGAGCTAGTTTCTTGTCGGTTCAGAAAGCAACGTTAGGCAGAGGCAGCCGCAGGCCGAAGGCCTGGGCCGCCCTTCAGTAGCATGCATGGTGCTTCGGTGTGGCGAAGGCAACGTTTTGGAGGTTTGAGGGCTGCATTTTGGAACTAGTTTCCTGTCTGGCGAAGGCAACGTTTTGGAGGCTTGAGGGCTGCATGAAACAGGCTTCATTTTGGAACTACGTAGTTTCTTGTCGCCAGCTGCAAGAGGACGAAGCGAGAGGCGAGGCAGCAAAAGAAAAGGGGGAAGAGGAAGGAATAGATAGAGGAAGAAAGCAAGAGGCCAGAGCAAAAAGCAAGAGGCGACGTTAGGCAGTAGCAGCCGCAAGCCAAGGGCGCCATCCAGCTTATACTGGCATGCTGTTTCGGAGTGACGCTAGTAGCACGCTGCGTATATTACCAGTCCAGGGGTTGGCGGCAGGGGGCGGCAGCCCTTTATTATTATCTTTATTAAAAAGGGAGGAACCCGAGGAACCTCTGAATCTGCACGAGTTCTGTTGGACGACCAAGCACCATCTCACCATCTCTTTAACTGGACAGGAAACAAGGTCCAAGTCTAAGCTGTATGTGGCAGGAACGCCAAGCAACCATTGAATAATGTTCGTCTCTGGTACCAATTCATTGCTCTTCTTTTTGAAAAAAATATAATGAGCAAGATCTCCGCCATCACAGTAGTCCTGGACAATAATGAGGTCCTGCAAACACTCGACACTGGCGTGACTGTTTTCTGAGCTTGTTGAACATTTTTGCAACTAGCAGGACATGGTGCGATTGGCATCCCTTCCCAGTCCAGGCCTCTTCTTTTCGATTCACCCAGCTTCCCATGTACTTCACCTCAGAATCATGGATTCAAGTACCCGGCTTCAGCGCAGCAATCTAGCTTCAAACAAGTTACAATGTTCAGTTTCAGAGAAGACTTGCTGGCAGCACCTTCTTGATCAATTTAAAGAAGTACATCAAGTTGCTATAGCAAAGGCAGAGAAGACAACAGCGCAACATTGGCGCAACATCTGATTTTTGGATGGAGCAGCATTTTGATATTTTATGGATATATTTCCACTTCTCAGAAAGAGACTGTTCTAGCAACAGATTTCAAGTCCTCCATTCCTGCTTGGTGATGATCAGTGACATCAACGAACTATCTTCTAAGAAAGTGTCAGGACCTTAATTCATATGGGAAGTCAATTCAATGAACATCATTGGAAGCCACCAAACATCACTAAAGCGATAGAAGGTTTTTGACTCTGGAATCCTGAGAAACGACCAAATCATGAGCGTCGCGTTGGGACGGCTGGGACAATAGATTAGAGCCCTCAGCAGAAACTTCCCGAACTTTGTACTTCCTACTAAGTCAAGTGCCTGGGTTCGTCAAATGCCCATCGAAAAGGGTCGAACAAAAGGGTCGAACTAGCATACTGATGGATATCGAATCTCATTAGCCCCTTCTGACTTCTACAAGCACCATGAGCCTTCAGTGCTGCCGCACAAATGTCAAGGACTCGTGCAATACAGGGAATACAGCGTAAGGTCAGGTGACCCTGGATCATGTACATGCAATGAGATGTTAATTCTTTTCTGAGCCAACCACCTCTGCACCAAGAAAAGAACCACATGGTCAACTCGTGCCAATTCTTCCCAGCAACAATGTGTGGATGCTGCAAAGCTTTCAACACCAATGCCTCCTGTCCTGGCAAAAGAAATCAAAAGGGAGTTCTGCTCACAGATTGTTTTGATCCAAAGAAGGTTCTGCGAGTGTTACAAAGAGCCATGAATCTGTTCGCAGATACTAAACTTACTAAACCTAACCCTGCCTTTCATATGTGATCCTAAGTGACTCTTTGTTTCATGAATCATCCGTTGCACGGGAATCATTGCGACCGCCTTTCACTAAGAGGGTCAGATTTGGTTCAGCCAGGTCCCATCTGCGTCCATCTGCGTCCATCTGCGTCCATCTGCGTCCAAGCATCGGGTTTGCTCTGTTTCTTCTTTGGACATTTCGCCTACATGAATACCTTGGCTTCATTTGGCTTCATTTGGCACAAAGGCACAACATGGCACAACTCAAAGTACAAACAAGCATGACAACAACGACTCAGGAGACTCTGAGACAGTTCAGAGTTCAGGGAACATCTGAGTCATTCTTTTCTGCCGGTGCCAGCTCAGTTGCGTTTTGCCGCTACCAGCCTGAATGAAAAGGTGTAAGGGTGGCTGCAAGGATCCAAGGCCTAGCTGCCTAGCTTTGGTCTGCCTCCAATCGCCATGCATTGTCTCTGTTCCTCCATGCTTTCCTTCTCAGTCTTGCCAATCTTTACACTATCCGTTCAACACCACATTTCTTCATTCGCACAAAAAGCATAAGCAGCCTGGATCCTGTCCACATGCGCATGTTGAGCATATTGTAGCTGGACAGTGTCTGACAGCGTTTGGAATTTCCATGTTTTTAAATTTGGACATGTTTAGACTGTTTAGACCAAGCCCTCTGGCCAAGGAGCTGCTCTTCGCTAAATTTTTGGCGCCAAAGTTCGACAACTCCAAAGGCACCTTTTCCCAAAATTTTGATGTACTCCTTGGCTCAACTTGGCTCAAGTTGGCTCAGCTTGGCTCAGCTTGGCCAAAATTCTTCAAGAAACTTCAGTGGTTGGTGAAACACAGAGGTAGTCCATATCCAAACCCAATTTCCTCTGAAGGGTCAGACTGATTCAAAATGAACTGCGTTTCTTTATCTTTGACGAACATATATCACACGCGGTGTTTTTGGCACCTCTCTAATTTGCCGAGTCGCATAATTTTCATCACGAGAGGGCATCGAAATGCAAATGTCCAGGCACAGGGATCGCAATGAGCGGAGCTTGGCTCGTTTGTAAGGGCTTGAAATATGACAAAAATTGACAAAAACATGTGCTTTACCACCAAAGGAATGCACTGGAGAAACTGGAGAAGTTCAGGGCACACCGGCACACCTTATATGCTAGGTGGCTCTCGACAAGTGGAGGTTTCTGTGACTGGTACTCTTGCACTATTTGCTTATGGCCCAGCTGGGACAAGAGTCTTGATCACCTAGTCAGCTTGGAAATACTTGGAATGTTTTTCAGGGTTGCATGGAAGTGCTCCTATTACTCCATTGCGATTGCAGGAGTACCTTGTGATACCTTGTGAATCCTTGTGATATCTTTTGATTGCTAAAGCTGTAAACACTTTTCTATGGATCTTGGCAACTCTCTCTGTGATGGGCTCCTTTCATGATTGTGCCTAATGCAGCTGACACAAAGGGTGAGAAAAATCCATAAGTGAAATAGGATTGCAGACTGGCCTGCACACCGACTCTAGACAGCATCCAAGAGGTTGAATGGCCTTTGATTTTGGAGGTTTGAACATGTCTGACATGTCTGTGTCTTCCTACAGGCGAACGATGAGTTTGCCAGGCAAGACTTTTTCAGTGAAACCAAAGACATGTCGTCAACTATTCCGGGATCGCCTTTCAGCAACCAGTCTGAACTCTGGGCTCTGGGCTGCTTCAACTCTCTTCTGTACATGAAGCAGAATGCATCAGAAAACTCCCTGGTGGGATCTTGTGCTTCGCACAGTCCAAGAACAAATACATATCTGGGGAAGCTCGAGATCGAGTTCTGAACAATTCCAGTCACCAGGGGCATGCAAAGCCTTTCAGGCACTTTCAACATCTGCTTTAAACCAAGACTTTCTAGAACATGTTGATACATTTTGCACAACTTTTGGATATCGGTCGCTACGGGAGGTGTAAACAAGCTTTGGTGATGTCAAATCCCCTCCCTACACAGACTGAGACTGTTTGAAAGTTGATTTGTTAGATTGGATAGGTTGCTCTGCAAAGTCACGAATCTTGATTGCTGGGTACAAAGCACTGGGCCAACACCCGAGTGTCATTAACAAGAAGTGGCCATCCGATTTTGGATCCGCTTCATGTATGCATTGGAGCTGTGACCAAGTTCAGCCATGTTCTTCTTGGCAACTTGTCTCTGCATGTTCCGTGCAGACTTCACAGACTGCAAGATCTCCTCTTTCAATGCTAGATCTGCTGCTTTGGCACGTTCAACCCGTGCAGTAACCGTCTGTTGGAGTTGCTGATACTCCTCAATATCTCGTTCCTGCACAGGAAACAAGTGGTTTTCCGACGAAAAGCTAGTCGAGTGGTCGAGTGGTACCCTAATTCAGAAAGTGAGTAGAGCTGCCCTATTCCCACAGGAAAAGCAGGGTCCTGATTGTCTCTTCGCTGCTGTACCTCACCAACCTTTGTGTGGTTCTTCTTGCGCTGTTCGATGAGGCTGACCTTCTGCCGCTTCATTGCTTCTCGATCCAAGCCGGCCTGCTGCTCTGCATGTGCTTTTGCTTCCACCTGACTCAAAGACACGAATTATTTTAGAATCATTGTGATACGAGTACTCTTCCTTTCAAGAAATCCTCCAAATTAATCCCAAGTAATCAATACCCAATGTTCCAAATCACTGCTCCCTAATTCATTAATTATCACATATTATCAACAATAAATCTATCATTAATGTTGCCACCTCTGTGCTTGCTGATTGCTATTTCCGCAGGCCTGCTCTGCATTAGCTGCCAAAAACTGGCGCTTTGTGGCGATCTCTTTGAGTTCAAGCTTTAGGCGTTGCTCCTCCTCTTTCTTCTGCCGCTTTTTCAATTGGAGCTTTTCGGCCACCTTCAAAACGGACTTCAGGGACATGCAGAATTCTGACATATTCTGACACACTCTAGCCGTTTCACTGCAAAACTTGGCCCAACGAAAAGACACACCTATTACGCATAATCCATCATAATCCCGCACCCCTGCCTCAGTTATGCATTTTTCCCTGTGTCTCTGCTTTTGCTGCTCTTCCAATATCTTTTGCCTTTTCTGTTCCTCGTGCCTTTGCTGTTGCTCCTCTCGAGCACGTTCTCGTACCTTTGCCAGCATCTCAGCCTGCCCAAGGAAACAGCGTGTGACAACTTGGATGGGTGTTGACGAACACTCAACTTTTCTAACTTGGTGGTGTGTAACTTCAGGTCTCAAAGAAAGTGGCCGAACATGAGTGAATTGCGGTCGTTGACCTTTTCAGTAAGCTCTTCTTGCTTCTCCACCTTTCTTGCAAGTTGCCTGCCCGCACTGTTGCATGCTTGTATTTCTGAACAGAGCAAAACTGTTGATGTCTAGTCCAGTGACAATTCATCCATCAAGAAAGAATTTGAGGTGCCACCTCTCTTTACAGTCTTGTCACTCTTGTCTGGAGTTGAAGTCAAGGTCACAGTTTTGCAGTTATGGCATGGTTCCGCCTTTCGCGCTTCATGTCAAGCTCTTTCTCACGCTGTGACTCAACCTGACGTATTGATGGAGCTTCCTGGTAGAGCGGAAGCTCTAGTGCTGAGGCTCCAATCCATTGGACAATGACTAGGGTCCGGTCTATTCGCAGCCGCTCTTTGAGTTCAGCAAGAGACATCTCGTCCAGCAAGCCCTGCAAGTCTTTGGCAGTCAAAGTTGAAAGGGAGACACAAATCAAAAGGATCGCAAACGAGCTCAAACCATGGTTTTTGTGTTCAGGCTCTTGGATTGAAAAGGGCAGGAGGAAGCCAATTGAGTTTTTTGAATTCAGCAAATGAATGACAACAATCCAAAAGCGGATTCGGCCATGCACTCACAGAAGGACTCCAGACTATCAAGTGGAAGGGACATACAAAAAGGAGTGCTCTAGGGGTCAGTAAGTCAAAGAACATGGTCGAACACCTCTACAGAATGCCCACATCAGGGGAACTTCCAACAACTGTGGTGTCCGTCTCATACCCCCAAAAAGAAAACTGCCTGGCAAGGTGGCTCTGCTGGATCAAACATCCTGAGAGGTGCAGTTCTCTTGAACAGTCTGCAAACTACAAGTCGGCATGTCGAAAAACAGCCAGACGCTTGTCTGTTTCTCAGCGACATAGAAATTGATACGCAAAAAAAGGTAACAGAGGTGAAATCACATACATCTTACATTCTTACATGTATATAATTATAAATATATATATATATTTAATAGATAGAGACACATACTCACGTCCACATACATCATGCTGAATGTATGACACATATGAGTGGCAAAATACAGATATCTGAAGCAGTGCAAACAAAGAACTTCGATGCTCAATGGCAGCACAACCATGCACAGCCGATCTCTGTCATCCTGAGCCAAGCTGCTTGTATTTCTCCACTGGAACTTTTTCGAGAGCACGAATCTGTCGGATAAGGTCACGCTTGCGTTCCATCTCCTCGCAGGACGCAATTCATTCCAGCGATTCCCAGTATTTCCCAGCATGATTTTGTATAAGGGGGTGCAGATTGCATCAGTCAAAAACAAGAAGCACTGTGCTGTGCCTTGTTTTTCACAACAATATCATGGCCATGGAGAAGTCAGCCACATTTGCGAATGAGCACAGGAAACAAATGGAATGCCGGAGGCCTGTTCTTCCTCCTTCTTCTTTCGGTCGAACTCCACCTACACAACGCGTAGTCTCAGCAACATGGGAATCTTGAACGCACCTTGAGCAATGCACCTTGTTACGGGTGAATGGTACCGACAGTACTGAGGTATAGATTGACAAGAGCAGCCGTGGGCCTCACGCTCCTTGCGCATGTTGTCTGCGTTGTTCACTCTTTCCTGCGGACATATTTGAAGAAAAAAGGATCATCAAGCATCAGATGGACCAAATTGATCCAAATTGATCAATAGTATCTTGAGTCGCACATTCCTGCAAACTCATGAAATCAAACGAAATAATGTTTCTCTGCACGTTGGAGCTGTTCCTTCAGGATCTCCAGTTCTTTCTCCCGTGCTTTTCCTCTATCCTGTCAAATTGAAGGATGAAAAAGGAACACAGAAACAAATACAATGAAAACCAGGAGAAAATCATGAAAACTTACATTAGTCGTTACAGATGAGGAAATTATGTTCGATCCAGTGGGCACTGGCCGTGCAGGTGATCTTATTCCAGAGATTCTCATGTAATATCCCTCTTTCCTTCTGCGCAGTTCACACTGTCTACATCTGGTCATCTCCGTCTTGGACGGACATGAGTCACATGAGCTATTCTTGAAGGATCTACAAATGTTTGGGCAAAAAATCAAGCTCATTTGGCTCATTCTCTGTGGTGGGTTGCCGTGCAAGGCGAGATTCTGCCTCAGTTGACATTTATTCGACAAATGCCAGCTCTGTATGCAACGGCTTCATAGCTTCGATTTTAATCATAACTTGAAATTTGAAAACAGTTGAAAGTTTGAAAGCTGCATGTATTCCCTCTCTGAGCCAAGCACTGATAATCGCTTTATAATGCGATTCTCAGCCTCACCAGGATCGTCTGGTAGCAACAGCCAGGACAAGAACTCCTTCACATCCACCGAGCCATCTTTGTTGATATCTGCTGCCTCGAACATCTTCATAGCAGAAATTGCAGAGAAGGCTTCGTCAACTGCAGAGATCAATCGGCAGAACTCCTTGATCTTCATTCTGCCATCGCCGTCGTCATCATGACGGGCAAAAAGCCTCAACAGCTCAGCCTCATGCTTCGCACGATCATCTGGAGTCAGTTTTATTGGATCATCAACCTCAAACTCTTCGTCCGGAGGTCCTGCTGTTTCTGTGGCCGCATTTGCCACTGAGACTGTGGCTGCAGCAGCTGCAGCAGCAGGCATCACATCGTAGTCCAACTGGGCCAAGCGGCTTCGGAGCCACAACTTGTATGGTTGTAGGACTGGTCCCAGTTTGTCAGCATGGGCCAATAGACGCCGATAGCGTTGGACACACCAAGCTGTCAAATCTGATGGAGCTGCTTCGTGAGTGCCACAGGCCAGGTTCCAGGAGAGCTTCCGAAGACACACAGGACACAAGTCCACCTCTTGGCAGTTTGCCCACTCCCCTACTTTTTTATTTGAACAGCCCTTGATCTAAAAGAACAATTCGTGTTCTTGAATATATTATTAAATAAATAAATAAATATATATATATATATATTAAATATGTATATATATATATATGTATGTATATATATATAAATACATAATAAATATGTATATATAGGCTCGTCCAGGCTTCTGGAACTACCTAAACCTTGGGGTAAAGGGGTGGGGTGGGATGTTAACGTTCATGTGAACTTGCGGCAGCAGTTGATGCTACGCACACGCGGGGTGGGGGGGGTGGGGTGGGATGTTAACGTTCATGTGAACTTGCGGCAGCAGTTGATGCTACGCACACGCGGGGTGGGGGGGGTGGGGTGGGATGTTAACGTTCATGTGAACTTGCGGCTCGATGTTAACATTCATGTGAACTTGCGGCAGCAGTTGATGATGATGTGATGATGATGATGATGATGATAATGACCCTAATGAAACTTGTTAATTCCGCGACGAAATTTCGTCACGGAATGGACAAGTTTTACCAACCTAATTCAGGTTTAGGTAGTTCCAGAAGCCTGCACGAGGCTATATATATATATATACATATATTAAATATGTATATATATACATATATTAAATATGTATATATATATATATATTAAATATGTATATATATATAATATAAATGTATAATATATATATATTAAATATGTATGTATATATATATATAATATGAATGTATAATATATATATATATTAAATATGTATGTATATATATATATATGTATGTATGTATGCATGCATGTATGTATGTATGTCTGTATGTATGTATGTAGGTAGATAGATAGATAGATAGATGAATAGATAGATAGATACATACATACAGACATACAGACATACAAACATACATACACACATACACACATACACACATACATACATACAGACATACAGACATACAGACATACAGACATACAAACATACAGACATACAGACATACAGACATACAGACATACATACATACATATTGTATATATATACACATACATATATATATACATGATATTATGTATGTATACATATATATATATGTGTGTACACAATTGTACATGGATAATGTTCTCTATATATAATATTCTATGACTAAATATATATATATATACATATGATAATGTTAAATAAGATCATATGTACATATATATATGAGTGTATGTGTATATATATATATATAAATATGAGTATGTATGTGTATATATATATGATTGTATATATATATATGAGATTATATGAGTATGTATGTATATATATATGAGTATATTATGTATGTATATATATATGAGTATATTATGTGTATATATATATGACTATATTATATATATACATGTAGTAGAGCGTGATATATATATATATATGCATATACATATGTATCGAAATGGCCTTGATTGGACGCAGGTTTCCCTGGGCCAAACACCAATCAGTTTGGCGCAAACATCTTGCAAATATCTTAAGTGGTATGCGCTAGTCTACTGCATTTGCAGTATTTTCTTCAAGCCCATTTTGCTCCATTTAACCTATGCACTAGAGCGCATCATTACCTTTAGAAAGTTGAGGAATTGGTGAAACTGGTGCACCTTGTCTTGGTTGGTATCGCTCTCATGCAAGCCACTACTGCCCTGCATGCGGCAAATGTAGAATTGGCAGTTCGACATTCCGAAAAAATGACACAGGTCGTGCGAGATCATCCCATGAGCCCTGCGAAGAAGGGTCTCTAAATCTCCTTCGCGGCGCTCTGTCGGGTAGCCTTCCACTACTCTCATGGCCTCAGAGCCGCATATCTTGACTAATGAGCCGGGTGGTACTGTATGAGAAGAGGAAACCTTTATATATCAATTTATATCAATTTAGATCCAAAAAAACAAACCTGTTTTATCTTTGCATCAACATGAACTCTCTTTGCACCACGTTCAAAATGCAAAGCTGAGCATGAGACAGTGAAGTCCATATGGCAGCTGACACGGTACCACGCAGGATCAAGTCGACAGAAGGAGAAAATGCCTGCTCTGTCTTTCACTGATAGACTGCTATGCACAAAGCTTCGTGTGCTTTCGAAAAGGTCTGCCATGGTGACGCCCAGAATGCAGAAACCATCTAGAGGAAGACGAATCCGCAGTTGCCTCAGACTATCCTTTGCATGGTATTGAAGATCGTTACCATGGCCGTTCGAACGAGAGGCAATGCCCTTCCCTGTCAAAAGAGGATCATATGGCAGCACTTTGCAAGGCAAATCAAAGAATGACTCAATGAATCTCTGCAGAATTCGGAGGTCTGGCAAGGTTCCCGTCTTGGCATAACTGCCATGACTACTTGGCTCCGTCAAAGGTAACAAATAGATCTTGTAATGCGCCCTGGCAGGTGCAGGTGGTTGCTCCATTACATAGTCCTTGAAGCTTTGTGCAGGTTCGTTTGAATCAAACATCCAAGTATCAGGGATCGGTGGTAGCTGTGGCAGGAACAGTGGACTCAGAGGCTGCAAAATTCGCTGCAGCTTGTGCATCTCAACTGAACTTCGGTGCTTCTCAGGATACAATTCAAACAATTCCAACTGCAGTTCTATTCTGCCTTCAGCCAAAATCTCTGCTGCATTTTCATGATGCTCTAATCCAATCGCTTCCAACTGAGCTTCCAGGGGTGGAGGAGTCCAGGATCCAGGCTCATCATGGGGCAGTTTTCGCCATTTGGCCAATGCGCTCGTTGCGCTCGTGTGTCTTCCAGAAGTTTTGGAAGGCGCTGGGCTTGGAGGTCTTGAAAGCCTTGCTGGCTGGGCACTATGTTTGGAGCCCTTCCGTGGCATGGGAGATGGCGAGGAGTCTCTCCTCAAGCCTCTGCTCAAGTGCCTCAAACAATTGCAATACACGAAGCAAAACACTCCGATAGACATTCATTGTCATTTCTCACACATATCGCAAGAACTCGAGAGGATATGAACCAAGGACCACCATGAATGATCAATTATCAAAACTGATCAAACCATGATCAAAAAATCAAAAATAATTGAAAGTTCTTTTTTTGTTCACCAATCTGCGCCGACCCATCGGGTCGCAGTGTCTTGGTAGACCATGACGCTGTTGGAGGTGGGGACGCGCTGCGATCGTTCCGCCGTGCCAGGCGCATGGTCGCAAGGGCGAGAAAAGTTTTGTCAATTGCCCAGAAAATTGTTGGATATATATATATATATTATATTATATATATATATGTATACATGGATATATATATATATATATTCGTATAAGTAGAAGTGATTAAACGTTTTCTGAAAACACTTCAATCTAGCTGAAACAACCTCCCTAAAAGTAGCAGAAACGGGAATGAATCAAATGGAATAGCATATTCCAAATGTCTATGCTTGAGACTTGCTTTAGAAGACAATCAATGTAACAACTTCATCTTCTCCGTTGTCTCTTGGGTCAAGTTTGATAATTTTCAGGTTCTAACACAATGGATGCGTTTGTAAAAGATCCTGGTCCTACTCATTTATTTTTTTTTACTCCCTGTAGAGCAAGTACGGCCACAAGTGCGCAAGACTCCAACAAGACTCGAGCTGCGCTGAATGGTGCTTCTGAGCAAACCTGAACTGACTCAACCTCAACAGTGGTTTAGGGTTTAGGATTTTACCAATCTGAATTGTCCTGCATTGTCCAAATGTTGCCCAAATGGTGCAGATTCTGGTGGCATGTGCAGGTGCCATAACACGCACAGCACAGCCTCCTTGGTCTCTTCCACGAGAAGTTTCTTCTCCCCGAGCTCCCACAACTTCTCCCGCTCCTACGGCGCCAGTAGCCACAACCACGACACACTACAACATACTCCAATCATGTGTGACTGTGACTTATGACTATCGTGTGAATAACATTGTGAGTCTTACTTTTTTTAAAATGGTTTTTGGACATCCTGACAAGCAACACTCTTGCATTTGCTGGAAGCCCGCTCGGCCCATCTCTGCCAAAGAGTCTCCTTCATCTGGAGACCAAGCTGCAACTCCTCTCCGTCCGAAACATATTTGGACACACTTTAGACTCTTTAGACTTTCGACCACCTGGACTTTCACACACTTTCACACACAAGGCCAAATGTGCAGAGTTGAATCTACTGTACTTTGCTCATCTCACTGCGTTGCTCTCGAGAATTTTGGGATGCTATAGACTCCAGGGCAAACACAAACCCAACCTCAGTGCAATTGCTGGGGGTGCGTAGCTGCAAGCAATGTAACACTGTTGCCACTGGTTTCTCCAGCATATCACTTTGGAACATAACAATATATATATATTATTGATATGTATTTTGCATTATGGTAAATTATACATATATATATAATATATAATATAATATAAATTAATATAATATAATATTTTGTGGCTGGTGACATTTTGAGGGTTTGATGCACTTTGCAGCTCAGTCCTCACGCTGGTGCTCTGCCAGAATATGCTTCCGTCGAATGCTTGACTCGTAGGCTTCCATGGCACTCTCTCTCGAGAGCTGCATCCTCCGTGCGGCATGACGTGAAAAGAATTGAAAAGATCTCTCCGATTCTCCGATTCTCCGATTCATGGCTAGCTGCGCTAAAGCTCTGAGGTCTGCTCTCTGCAGCACGCTGCCGCACTCGGGCTTCTTCTTCACTCTGATCCTTCAAGTTGGGCTCTGCTGATCCAGCTCCAATTCGACATGTGTGGCCACAAATCCTCATCTGTCAGGAACATGAGAAAGGATCGCACGCCTGGCCTGTTCTTTCATTCGCTCTTGCCAGGTATAGAATTGCGAGGCATCGTGCAAATCTTCTTGGTAGCGCTTCAAGATCTGGTACTCCTGGGATTTCACGAGGAAAAAAAAAAACTGCCACGAGTTCAACACAGGGATATTTTAGCTATGGCAACAATTCAGATAATAATATAGATTAATATAGCTATAGCCAGTACATAGCCTATTAGCTTTACGTACTGGACTGTGCTCGTGTTTCGTATCTCCTTAGCCTGCTTCTGCTTGAGCAATGCATCCTCTCGCAGCACAGAGGCGGCGTTATGCCTGGCCGCGATAGGCCGTGCTACAAAATGCAACATGGCTACCCCCAACTGCACGTCAAACATCGTCAAAATACGTCAAACTTGATGTTCTTGCCTGACAGTCGCATCCCCAGCAGGAGCCACAAACTTCCTGAGTCAGTGGATGCATGCTTTGATTCTGTGACCAAGTCTTTCCAAGATTGTGGTGACACTTTTGTCTTGAGGCGAAAGTCTTGCTGGTCTTTGGGTAGAAAGTGCACTCTGCCATCTGTTCCGATTCCACCTGCAAAGAAAAGCTCACCCAACAAAGCAAGTTGTTTTGATTCTTCAATGAAGTCGCCTGACATGTCTTGACTCTTGATGATCTTGTTGAGAGCGCACCTTCTTTTTTAGGTCTTCCATTACAGCTTCGTGGTCACGTCGGGCGCCTGTTTCCAGGCCTAGGCAATGGGGCAATGGATGAGACATTTGCTTCAAGGCAGCAGTGCAAGGTACGAGCCCAGTGTGCAAAGCACAGATAACCACAGTATGTAAAGTAAAGCAGGTCAAACAACTGCGACATTGGCTGAAGTGATCTGCTTCGGTGTACTTCGACAGGACTTTGGCCTCAAATCACTGATCTTCAAAACATCTTAGCTCTCTTGGCCCTAAGAGTTTCGAAACAGGGATGAAAATCAGGTAGTAACTTTCGTGGCACCTCGGGTTGTATGATATTGTATGCAAAATGAGCGACACATATGATGAAAACAGTCTTGAGATGTCTTGAGTAACTCGAGTAATTCTTGCTCGTTCTTACTGGCCTTCTCCTCCTCCATCCTCTTCTTCTTTTGTTCCTCAACCTGCATCGGCTGCGTAGCCAATGCCAAGAAGTCCCGTGAGATCATTGATAAGATGAAAGAAAATGAAAGAGTTATCTTAAAATTTTATCATAATTTGATGAGATCGATGAGTCCTTTTGCATCCGCTTGCCTTGTTCAAGCTGTTCTTGTGGATGGAGGCTGGTACTGGCTGTGCCTGCTTCATTACCACACTAATAACTTCCAAACGTTTGCCCAGGCCCAAAACAATCAACATGCAGAGACCATTGCATTGGTACAATCGGTACAATGATGTACAATGATGTACAATGATGTACAATGTCTGTTTTGACAAGTACTCATGGTGCCCACCGGATGCCTTCCCAAAGGCTGTTTGGTCTTATAGATCAACAGAAAAGATGTCACACTCATTGCGTAGGCACCCTTACATTCAAACCAAGACTGTGCATTCATGCTGGTTCTCTGATTTTCAGTGGAATGTCAAGTCTGCATGAACTCAGGGGAAAACTGTACTTGCGAGAGTCATTGTGATATCCTTCGTATGATTCTGTGATCCTTTGTGATCCTTCGTGATCCTTCGTGATCCTTTGTGATCCTTCGTGATCCTTGGGAAGCATCTCCTCACTCTTTGTGCCTTCACCTCCCGACTGATGACATCAGGCTCCGGTATCAGTCGCGGCCTTTGCAGCCAAGGAATGCAGTTCAAAGTTCTTTAACTTACAGAAGCATAGAGATGTGCTGTGGTGAAACTAGTTCATGTGTATGCAGCACGCTGGCTCATTCGATATCCTTCGGGCACCCCTTGCAGAAAATTGCAATTCCATGGAACTACTGCGCGTTTCTTTTCCACGCCCATAAAGTTCCACTCCACGAAGGGCAAACAGCAATGGGTCTTTCAGAAATGCCAAAGTATGGTGCTATCCTGAGCCAGTTCGCTGCTAACCTTAGCGCCACGTTAATCTATGTTTTGCTGTCATGCTCAAAGACTACCATCTCCGCTCCAAACCGCAATGCCATTCACAGATTGACATTTTAAAATCATTTACAAAAATATTGATCACAGCAGAACCTCACAAACGGCCTCATTTTTGCCAAGTTGCCATAGCACGAGGCAGGGATGTTCTGCGCATGGTTCCAAGGGACAAAACCCAGTGATGCCATCTTTGTCCCATCCGTCAGACCCGTCCAATGATGAGATGCCATGAGATGCAGCAAGCCCAACGAGTGAAAAGAGGTCGGCCCTCAGTGAATTCATCGCAATTAATTCACCCAATTTCATCCACAAATATCCACATTACTCGAAACATCTCGAAACAAAGCATTGTGGCGTGCTTTGCAAAATACATCAAAATACATTGCAGAATGTTCGCAACAAATCCACACCGGAAGAGGGATGAAACAGCGGTTTCCATTGGAAACAATTTGTGCCTAAGAGGAGGGGCTGTGGTGAGCCTCGCAAACATCCCAGAAACTGCACCTAGAAACTGCCCTTTTAGAACTGTGCTGCAGTGCTTGTTTTGGTGCTTTGCTTGTTTTAGAACTGCATGGAGTGGAACAAAGGATGACTGGGGCCACGCTCACTGGCATTCGGCGGCCTGTGCCATGGTATTCTACTTCAAAATTGCGCTCATCTAGTTCCCATGGGTCATTCTATCCAAACGTGGACGTCGCAACAGCAGCACTGAACAAACAGCTAGGAGGTGCAGGCAAAAATAGAATAGAAAACATGTGGAACATCTATGCTCAAATCATCACAGCCCTGGTGCATGATCCTGTTGACAAACCACAATAGCATCAATTGCAGTGTTTGCTCCACGGCATTGGCCAACTACCCAGGAATTCCCAGTAGCTCAACAGTCACAACTTCCGAAGTTTTCTGCGCAGAAGCGAGCAACGCTCTAGCTGTACACTGCACAGAAAGTTGCGCTTCCTAGTATTTTTTGTCATGTGCAATTATTGTGCAACGCATCCTTTCTGAACAGCATTTTGCGCACGTCCTTGCTTTTTTGAGCTCTTCTATGGATCTCTATGTGATTTTTGCGTAACATGCGCAACTAGGAAGTTGGCTTGTATACCTACCCTGTACCTGTCTCAGAGCCACAAAGATTCATGGGCAAAAGTGCGTCTTAGTTCCTGACAGCAAGGCCGCTTTAACTGCAAAGTGAACCGGGAAGATTGCCTTAGATGTTGAAATACGTTGAAATACCAACCGTGTCATTGAGTCGTCTGGTGAGAAAAAGTCAGTGGGAGGACATAGACCCTCACAAGTAGAACGCACTGTATGAATCTGTATGACACTGTATGACACTGTATGCCTTTCGTCAACAAATCTATGTGGGTCTTGGGGGTTGGCGTGTCACCAGATGTTCAGAGCCGGGACATGTCGAGACACTTTCAAAGATGCGCTCTGAGCATGAAGAGCAGGTTTTGAGTTTGCCTCCAAGAGCCAAACAGCTCCCGAGTCATCAATCAGCAAGTCAAGGGCCATCAAGCTGTAGCATTTGTAGCCTCAGTGAAGGGTTTCACATGTTCAGTTATGTTTTATATTGCCAGTAGCTTTCATGCTTCTATGAGAGAGACATAGAGACCCTTGCAGTGTAGCGTAGACACCAGTTGAAGGTACAAACAACATCAAAATCATCAAACAACTACGGTAACGTATAGAAAAGTGCACTGCAGACCCGTACTATCCGTACTGAGACTGATGGTGAAGCTGTGTACCTCAGTCATTGGAACGGGGAAGGATTCAGACATGTTGAGATCAGAGAGCTTTTCGAAAAACTGCTTGAGTCTGAAATACAACGCGCATGAAAAAGAAAGGACCCTTTCAAACACTCAAAAGCTACTAACTGGTGCAGCTCAGATTCATTTGTGTGCGTGGTCACGTCGGTCACGTATGCCAATGCCTTTGTCTGCCAGAGAGTGAGAGCATCGCGCGCTGTACGAATAATTCGCCTCCAAACTGTCTCTGGACAAATTCCTATCTTGCTGAGGTGACACCACAGCTGCTCAAGTGTCCAGTTCTGGCCACTGGCATGTCGAGTTGTCTTCGTCTGCACTGCGTTGTTACTGATATGTGCACCAAGCTCTTCGAGTCCAGCTTCTCTGTAACTTCCACTGCAGAAGCGGACAAGACCTTCTCGAAATATCAACGCACCAAGAACCGGAGAAAGTTGTGTCACAACGACGTAGACTCGAAGGTCAACTTTCCGTCCTTCAATCAGCAGTGGATTGGCAATGTATCGAGACGCAGTGCATCGCTGCAATCGCTGCCGTCGTTCTGGAGTTTGGACTAAGTTGAGTCCCTGGACAATCTCAATATGACGACCTTCACCTAGTTGACAAGGCTTCAAAATCCAAATGCTCTCAGGCTCATCAGAGAGGACAGCTTCAAATCGTTTTTCCTCTTCTGGAAGGATGAAGGTCTCGGGGCAAAACGGCATTCCTCGTAGCAGCTTGGCCATGCGATCTTTACAGCATAGTTCATGCTTTCCTGGAAAGTGGTTGATGGTGCAGCCAGGCGGGATTTTGGACAACAGGTTGGAAGAAGGAAATGCATTTGCGAGAACAAGGTCTGCATCTCCTGGCTCGCTGGTTTGAACAAAGCCCCCAGTTGCCAACGTGCGAATGATCAAAGAGATGGAGCCTTTGCCAACTTTACGATCTTCCATCTTATGAAGGAATACACGAGGAGCTGTACCAACTGTACCAGCTGTACCACCTGGATCTGGATGTGCAACTTGAAGTGTATCGCGAACGTCGTGGATTCCATCTAAGCTGTGTAAATGAGTGCACTCATCGTGAAAGGGACAACCTTCTGGAAGGGAGAAGCGTTTGCACAGGGGCCTTTCTGGTTTTGGTGGACGAAAGCGTTGCTTCTTCTGCTGCTGCAGCACCGCTTCCACTGCTCGCCATTGATTTTGAGCTCCAGCAAGCGATCGTCTGTAACCGCTCGGGCCACTTTGCCTGTCGGACATTCTACAATTCTACAGGATGTGCTCATACACGTTCAATTTTTTGAATGGGTCAGGAAGCGCACGCATCATACAAAGCTGGCTCGACATGGCAAATCGCAAGCTTGAACATGCATCAGGTTTCTAGATCCACAAGGGTCAAGAACAAGAACAAAAGATGTCCACCCCACAGGAAGTGACCATTGACATGTGCCCCTATGCACACACACACACAAGCTCTTGAAGCTAGTCAGGTCTTGATGGCACTGGATGTGGTCATCTACAGTAGTTGCAATCCAGTTCATCCTATCAATCTTTGCCGACGTTTTCATCTCACAACATGTTCGTACTTTATTTGGTTTATTGCTACATGGTTGTCTTGGGCTCCCTACCTTGGCTGTGTGAGATTGAAGGGCTTGAACTCCTGAGTGAACCAAGCTTCCCATGATACCATGATATTACATGATATCACCATGATAGTGCATCGATGCATTAGACTCTTAGACTCTTGGACTCTGAGACTCGACTCTGGGGTCATGTCACTGAGTGTCACTGTAAGTCTCTGACGGTGCGTTTCTTCTCAGTTGTGCCCAGGCAAGTTCCATCAACAGCTTTGATGGTGCCAGTGGCCTTGTATTCCACCTGTACATCACATCTGATTGCATCTGATGACTGTACACCGCTACAAGGTATACACGGGATACAAGGTATGCAAGGTATACAAGCTGCAGATCAGATCTCAATGACCACCCCCTTGCCTCGTCTACGACGGATTTGAGCTGGTCACGGAAACTTTGTAATTTACCAATGACGTCCTGGCCAACAGTGGAATTCAAGAACTGTTGCGCCACCCCAGACGCTGGAAAGAGATGGAAAGAGCAAGATAGAGCTGCTGATGATGCCGATGCGTCCTTTTCAATGTAATCCACATCATAGACTTTGCACCATTCCACCTGCTGGCAATGATGATGTCAATGATGTCTGTATCTCTGTGCTGTGTCGTACACTTCAATCGGTTCTTCGTGTGCTGTCGGAACTTGCTGAGTCTGCCACTTTCACCCACTTCTCCAGCTCCTGAACATCTCCATAGTATGCACCAGTCACAAATTCTGCACGGGTCACTTTAAGAACAAATTTATCGGGTTCACTTCGGAACACAAAGCGCATTCTGGGCATAAGGAAACGAAGTCACTTAGGAACACAATGTCTATAGTGGATTGACTTGTTGACCTTTTTGGCTCAGCGTGGTCGAGTGAAAAAGGACTTGAGGCCCAGGGGCTGGACGAAAGACACTTTATCATGGTTGTGATAGTCTGAAGGTTGCAGGAGGAAGGTGGAACAAATCTATTCAAGAACGTGTCAAAGTGTACACCATGCAAACATGATCAAACATTGCATATAATTAAGCTAAATTACGTTGTTTTCGAACAACGGCACTTTCAGTGCTGCGCCAAAACAACGCAGCAAACCAGATCATGTTCCACACTCAGTGTCGCTAGAGTCCATCCCATTCACAATGGGCATTGAGCGGTAGACATCGGTAGACCTACTGTGGGAGGAAAAGGTAGTCACCTTGTTGCACAGCTTTCTGCGTACCGTACTAGCCTCTGCGACACGCTCGGCTAGGGGTGGGAGGGGTGGGGGTTTAAGTGAAACTTCACTTAAATAGTGACCAAGCTGCCCCAAGACCCCAACACCATCTTTGCTAAATCAAAAAGCGACTCCAGCTACCACTAGCTTTTGTGAAAATCCACCGTCCTCCACATTGAGTGCGTACCTCATGTCCCAAACCATGAGTCGTTGTCTTTGCGCTGTTTTCATCAGTGGCTTTTTCCATGTCTTGCAACTTGTGTACTACAAGGTTCTACGCAATCACATGAATTCTGCATGGTTTTCGGCTTCAAAACGCGTTTTTATCCGTTTTATCAGTTTCCATCAGTTTCCGTCGCTGTCTTTGCGCAAGATCCGTTTCTGCCAAGGTGCTGCATCAGTGCCAGCAGTGCTGGCGGTGTGCCATAGCCACAGGCCAGGAACTCCCGAAACTGTGGGACCGTCAGCCTAGGAACGAAACAGCTACGACAGCTACGACGGCTACGAAACACTGTCATGACTGAGTTATGAGTCTCACTAGTCATGACATGTCATGACTGTCATTAGAGGAGCTGCTCCAAATATGGGGCATTCGGCATTCTTGTCTTTTTGCTGAACATCCGGAGATGGCACCAGTGGCTTTTTGTCACGCTGATTTGCAGCCCTTCATCACTTCCTAAGGCCATCATTGCCTCACTTGGAACTCGAGCCTTACTGCAACCTGCTTCGGGCAACCCATTGGGTCAGACGCCTTTTCCAAGAAATGTCATCCAAGTCTGCTCTACTCATCGCATGGAAATGGAGATGGAAACCCTTCAGCCATTTGCTTTCCATGTTTATCCTGGTTGTGTACATGTCAAACCAACATCTTGCCTGTTACGCTGTTTGAAGCCAGAATGAATGCCTAGTCTCTCATTCGATCAAGCGTCAGCGCACAACCACGTGGTCCTGACTCAACATATCAAAGCGCATCAGAGCCATCAAATACGTGGGAGGCACAGCTTGTTCAGCTCGCCCAGAGATTGGCACCCCTCTTCCAGGTCAGACTTCAAGGTCTCCACTTTCTGCTTTGCGGTGCCAGAGTGGGTAAGGCTGGAAGCACAGGCGCTGGTGACGCTGAAGACTCGCAAGTCCAACAATTTGACGACCAAACCGGGTCTAGACTGTCTGTTGAATATGGCAGCAATGTTGTTCCAGCTTCCCAAGCACCTGCATGTCCACAGATTCGAATCAAACAGGACAGCCCAGACGAATCCAGCGGTATTCGGAGCCGATGCATCTTCAATAGCAGGTGTAGAGGGTACCTCCACTGATAGCTCGTGTAGCAGACTTGGAAAACTGCATTTAATGATTCCGATGAGATCTGCAAATCACCCTGCTCCCAGAAAGACATGAGATGAAATGTCTGGGCCCATCGGTCTGGACACGCAAGACCACAAGCAAGCATGGTAGCAGAGAACAGCTGTTCCGACAAGGCTTTTGACCTTGCCATCCTGAAAAGGTTCAAGGCCTCCGCCCACTTGATTATAGAGGCAAATGCAGAAGCAGCAGCACTGTATGAGAAAGCAAGGAAAGTGTTGTTGGCGCCGCCATTGTGTGTGCTCACATCCCTCAAAGACAGTTCCCACGCAGTGGAGCTGGCGCATGCGCAACTGGCTGTACCCAGAGTGACAGAATTGGGTTGCAAGTGCAGAAGAACAACTTCGCCAAGGATTTCCAGCGCGAGAGGCCACCGCACACTTCGCTCAAAGGCATTCAAGACCGTGTTGAAAGATATGATATCTGGCTTAAGACTCTTAAGACCTTGCATGGGCTTCAGAGTTGCCATCGCCTTCTCCCATGCCTGCCCCCTAGCAGCACAGTTGGCAAGAGCATTGCAAGCCAAAGTGTCCAAAGTGTCCAAGGTTTCCTGTGTGTTCAAGTAGTCTCCATCTCGCATCATGACGGCCGTGGCCCTTTGCCACAAAGTGTCTACACAGGCTGCATTCAAGGTCTTCATGATCCGGTCTGCTTTCAAGCCAAAGCCAGGCAAGACACAAACGACCTCCAACGAAAGCCGCCAAAGCCTTGAGCTTCTGTATGTTCGCACCAAACTATTCCAGGAGACCGAATCACATTGCAAATGCTTTGACAAAGAGTTCTGAAGCAAGGCAGTGGCTCTTTGCCAGTGCCTAGAAAACGCATCTATGGCTGTATTGCAGGATATCAGGTCAGTCTCCATCTGCACCCACTTCATATGAGAAAGTACTTGGAGAGAGTTCTGCCAAGCGCTGAGCTCAGAGCATGTAGACATACAAGCATTGCCAAGTACCACGTGTCGAGCATCGGCAAACTTGGTTTTGATCTCATGGAAGCATTGCCACGCAAGGGACCAGTCTCCCACTTTGCGGCATGCCGCAAAAACCTCCAGTAGATCACTGGGTCTCAGAGCCTCTACGCACTTCAGGCAATGTGCCAGTGTGGCACGAACTCCCCAGAAGCCCAGATTCTCATCCCTCAAACGCTTGAGCACAAGACTACGGTCTTGGAAAGCTTGCAGCCCTTTTGCCGCGACCATACGAATATTTCATGGGGCAATCTGATGGGCATCCGCATTGAAGCAAATTAGAGGAACAAACTATGACTTCAGTGGATGCTCGCACACCTTGAACCAAAAATCCATGAATTGCGTTTGCTAGCCACTTTTCGTCTGATTCGTCCCGGAATGCAGGGAAGTTCACTATTCATTGCCTACCACGCCTGATCAATTCCTCTACTGTGGGCTGATAAGTGTTCTTGCTGGAGTTGGACAAAATGTTATTGTACATTGAACAAATGGAGCTTGGGTTTCTGGGTTGCTCGGTCGCAATAATGACATCACGAAATTTGCTTGGTCACGAATGTCATGATAGACGCGATGAACAGTGGGTCAAGACGGCTGATGATGAAACCCATTTACTATGCACGTCAAATGTTGTGATGCATGGTCTGCAGACTTTTTAAAACATGGCGGTGAAAGGCCTTCAAAGCGACAAGTGCGATTGTGGTGTAGACTCAAAATATCTCAAAATTGTCTGAGCTTCCGACTCCTCTAGCCGGAAAAAGAGCAAGTAGGCAATCACGATGTAAAGAGCTGGCAAGATGCGCAAGCACATCTCATCCCCAAAAAACTCCATTTAACAACCTGAATGCTTTGACTGTCCTCGCAGTGAGCAAACACGGGCGCAGCTCTTGAAACAAAACAGCTGATCAGAACTTGTTGCGTGCATTTTGCCGCAGACAGTTTCCCTCAGCAAGTTGCTGCATACAAAACTATCGGCAGGGTTGCTCTGCTCTGCACGAAGGGCCGTTGCAGGACATTTGTACATAAAGCTAGTAACCTGAGCATGACAGGAATCTAAGGTCATGTAGATGTCAGCAGCTATTCGCATGGTCTGGTTGCATACGCGATTTCTTTTTTGCCAAGGCTGCTGCGAACATTTTCAGGAACTTTTGGTATCTACAACAACCGTAGAAGACCTCGGCAGCAACCCCGTCTGAGAGCTGGCTAACAGTTATGTTGATCTAAACTCGGACGGGTCGAAAGATCGAAAGACTCACAAAGCTTGAGAAACCGAGTGCAATTTGACGGCCTGGTGAATGAACTTGAGGGCTTGCTCGCCAACCTTTTTATCTTTTAGACATTCACAATCCTGGCCCAAGTCAATGAAATCAGGTCAAATCCCGGCAAGTTTTTGAACGAAGTCGAGTCGAAGTCGAGTCGAAATCGAGTCGAAGTCGAGTCGAAGTCGAGTCGAAGTCGAGTCGAAGTCGAGTCCTGTATGTAGGCATCTACAGTGGTCTTCCTTGGCTCATAGGTATCCAAAACCTGCAGAAGCGAGCCCAAAACCAACTTCAGCAGCACTTCCGTCCACTTCTTGAAGCTGCTAGTTGCAGGAACAAAGAACAACAGAGGAGAGAAATGTGTAAAGGAAAACAAGTAGCAACAAGAAATCCATGCAAGATGGTGGAATGGGATGGAACTTAGCGATGAATAAAGAAGTCTCAGCGGAATTCAAAGGTCAAGAACAAAATAGAACAAACAACATTATGATACATTACGTGTTATTGACAAAGCGCAAGCGAAATGCATTCGTTGCTGGCCTTTGTGCATTTCTTCAGGAGAAAGATGCACTTCTCGCCTGTGAAAATCATTGCCATCATTTCTAGTTTGCAAAGAACAGATTGTGATAAACATCAATATGAAGGAAAGTAACAGACGTTTAGAAAGCAAGAACTTCAAACTGGCAAATCAACTGAGAACTTGTACCCGGATCCATCTCAGCATCTTTCGGCTTGGTCGCCATGTCCTTCGAGCACAAGACTGGGACATCCGGAAACCCTGGTGCACTCTCTTTGACTCCCGCGTCTTTGAATGTTGCTCTGGCACGTGGTAATTCTGTGTTGCGACATGCAATCGCTGCCGGCCTGTTCAAGGCTGCCAGCTCATCCAAACCATTCGGCCATTGGCAGATTGGAGAAAGTTTTCTACAGAAACTGTTCGAATCAAAGATCTATCTCGGCTATGCTGGCTTCAGCCTTGGTTATCTTGGTAGTAGTTGCTATTGGTTTACTTTGAAGAGGGAACATGTCTGTGACGTTGCACTGAGCAATACACACGTCTCTGCTCCTCTGCGGCTAGTTTTAGCTTGGCCCCAGCTCTACAGGGCCCTTCCGGGGCCAGCTTGGAGCATAGCAAGAAATCTGACGGAAACCCAAAAAAGTGCTGGTCGGGGACCTTGCCTCCAGAAAAGAACTGCATTCAGTATAATTCTCTTTGCTGATACCTTCCGGTAGTTGCTCTATGCATGATGAGAATGAGACCGTTTGTTTTGCCCGCAAAACTTTGATGAGGAAGGCTGTTTTAATTCTCAAGAATTTGATTGAAACAAGAAGGTACTTCAAAACACAATGCTTTGTGCAGAGAAATGTTGACCTAATCAGCTTTGATGCGGCGTCTTTTCCGCTTACTCCACCGGCTCAGTCGCATCTCCACCATCTTCAAGCTCTGAGAATGCTTTAAACCGTCCAACCTCTGTACCAAAGCGCAACAAAGACCCATCGATACAAACTTCAATCTGGATCTCTGGATACCCTTGGCTGAATTTCACCATAGCCGCTAGGCATGACACACAAGGTGGCTCAGAGACCGCAATAGTCATCTTGCCCGTCTTGCCAGTTTTGCTAGTTTGATTCAAGGGCATTTGACTTTCGAGGAGCTTCTCCATAGCAGCTAAGGCCCTAAACTCCGCACACGCTGTGCGATCCACACGATCCCATGTGATACCACCGGTGCCACCAGGGTTCACCGATGGGGTCCCCACAGTACCCTTGTTCCGACGTTGTAGGCTACCCTGACAGCTGTCAAGCGCATACTCGATGACACAAAGTACATTCTTGAAGGATAGCTGTCTTTTTTTGGATGGGACAGCGCTGCCACAACTGGCCGCAATGTGGCAGTGCGCCAGCAGCTCGCAGCTTCCAATAGCTCCGAAGGTGATAGTTTGCAAAGTGTCCAGGTTTGGGTTGGCTTTTTTCATCTCAGATGCGCCAGTAACGGCCTTGTCTTGCAAACGTGGCAGCAGTAGTCGGCGAAGGGCTGGAAGAGTATCCACCAAGACACCTAGCTCACGTGTGCCTTAGGCAGGAAAATGTGAAACCAGGAAAAATTAATCAATGAAATAAAAATGCAATGCTTCCTAGATTCTCTCAACATCCTTTCTCCGCCTTACACTTCCTTGGCTCCCTTGCCACACTGACTTCCCTGCCTTAGCATCTCCTCAACATAACCCCCCCGTGATTTGTACCCTCAGAAGCCCATACCACTGTGTCTTTCTCATTACCTGGCACCACTCTATAATTCTCACTAAGATCACTAAGTTGGCTGGGGAAAAAATGGGAAAGGTCGACGTCAAGTGGCCAAGGCCCTGAACGCAGAAGTTGATCTGCGTGAAAAGGGCGCCCAGCACCTGCCCAGCGATCATGGCTTACTCAGCGTCACTAGGCATCAGTAGGTCTTCTAAGCTTCAAGAAACCCAAGCAGCTTAGCTCACAACAAGCAAGGCACCTGAGTGTCAATCACCCTCAGCATTGCGAGGCACCACACCAAGCTTCCAATCTCCTTCAGATTGCAAAACCAGGTTATAAGCTGCTTCTGTAGCCGTTCAATCGCATAACTTACGTATCATCCTCCTTTAAGCGACGGTCTTTGCAGGTGCCTACTCGAAACGCTACACTCTGTACAAGATGTTGCATATTGGATTATCAATGATGATTGCATAGTGTGTCCTTTTGTATAGCTCGCAACATCGTTTGCCACTATGCTTCCAGCTTATGCCGTAGCCGGCACCTGTTGCCTGTGCAACCCTATGCCAACCATAGGCGCAGGCTCTTCTCGAGTCCCCTTTTTGGACTTTTGATCTGCTCAATTGAAATCAAAGTGGAATGCCTGTCGCAATTTAGTGTAACTCTTCATAACTCCATTGACGTTCTTTTTCAGTAATTCACGCTGCTGGTGCGAAGCTGTCCTGTGGTCCGTAGTGAGTGCTTGTGTCCAAGGCAGCCCTGCAAACGGCATCATTCAGCATGCGGTACCTTCACTGAATCACAACTCCGTACACCCAATCGCTTGGGTGCGCAAGAGCAACAAAATCCATGGTTTCCAAAGATGTGGTGCAGCGCTACTCCCAAAGACACAAGAGTTGTCACAGCAAAGAGCCGAAGAGCCTCAGCTGCATTGTGGCGAAAGCCTGCCGGGAAGACAACGAATTCTAGAGATGCGTGGAAGTTTGAGCAAGCCACACAATAAACTGTGATATACTATGTACAGTGCTTGAATTCATGCTTCCGCTGCTGCCTTGCCTAATACAAATGTGCCTGGTCTCGGGGTGTGAACTGTGGCATTCGCGCCTGAAGTTGCACAGAGCGTATAACATACGCTGAGACATGCAACGCCAATTGATTTTGCGTGATTTTGCATTCCAGTCATATACAAAGAAGCATATCTGAGGAAAAAGCGACTGCATGCAATGCAAGAGAGTCCTCACAGCCGGTGGCCAGAAAAGGCCGAACAGAAAGAAACAGGAAGACGCTCTAGGTTTGTCATAGATTGAGGATCTCACGAAAAGCTCCTGACTCCTGGCAGCCCACCGAAATGGCTCTCAGTGTGAATTCACCAGGACGGCAGCAGCTTCTGCGGAAACAAGCTGTACGGCATCAACTGGACATGGAAACATGGCGCACGCTTTTCCTTGGTCGTTTTACCAAGCTTGTGGAGTACACTCTCCTTAGCCGTTGGCATTGTGGCAAAACATGGCTGGCTGGCTTGACCTCCATTGTGGCCCAATCCTAGGCGGAGTTTGCCAGTGCCTGACAAGAACCATCGGCTGAAACCATCTGAAACAGTCAAGTTACATCGTGCTAATTATTCAAGTTCTTCGATGTTCAAATTGCTCAGCCTGTGGGGTAAACTTGACCATCTTGCTGATCATTTCTTCGGCCAACACCTCCAGCATGGGTAGGTCACAAACGCCTTGCAAGAACGAGGCTCGCCCCGCGCAATCACGTTTGCATTGGAAACAAAGAGACTCTACAGTCTTTGCATGTCTTTGCCAATTCCATCAGAAACTCTGAATCTCCATTTGGCGTGCAAACGGTTTCACTGCAGCTCAGGCATGGTCCCAAAATGGCAGCTGTCTAAGCACTGTTTGCCAACGCCTACCGCATCCACTCTGCTTTGTCCACACCAAAATTACTGAAAATGGCCCAAAATTTGCCCCGCTCTGTCAGATCAGTCTTGGAACCAATGTGAACTAAACTTGAGAGGGAAGGGTGAAGGATCGAAAGGTAGGTGTGCGTTGGAACAGGAGTTGGTAGGGGAAGGAGAGAAGAGGGAAGGGTAGGGGGCAGATGGGCGAAGTTATGCACCCCGTTTTTAAACTACAAAATGGGGTGCGAACCCCAACAGTGTCTACAAAATGGATGTGGGGTAGATCGCACGGCTTCCAACGGTCTGGCAACCAGGCTCGGGTTACAAAAACAACTTTCTGCCAGCCAAATCCTACGTACAAAACGGTTTCGCACCCAAACTCTCCTTCCAAAACGGGCTGGCAACCAAACTCGAGTTACAACGTAGTTAGCAAGCAAGTTCTGCTTACAAAACGGGAATATCCTTCCTTTGCAAGTATATGCCAAAGATACCTTTTGATGTGCTTGCCTAGATCCTTCTTTTGATTCAAGGGTATAGTATGCCTGTTACATATGTCCGCCGACCCCTGCCGTCAGCAGAGCGAGCGCGTCAGAGGAGGCCTTACTAGCAACAAGATGCCAGAAGGGGCGAAGAGTTTGTGCAGAACGAAAGCCGGCTCCAGAAGGACACGAGCAGGGTGGCAGTTGGCAGTGTAGAAACGCAGGAAAAGTCAAGGTTTGGAGCTAGTTTCTAGTCGGTTCAGAAAGTGACGTTTGGCAGTCTGGGATACGGGCCGCGGGCCCAATCCGTCCTTCACTGCCATGGTGTTTTAGCCCTGCGACACGGTCCTTGGACGCCAGCTTGGACCGAAGCGGTGCAGAACGAAAGCCGGCTCCAGGAGGACACGAGCAGGGTGGCAGTTGGCAGTGCAGAAACGCAGGAAAAGTCAAGGTTTGGAGCTAGTTTCTAGTCGGTTCAGAAAGTGACGTTTGGCAGTCTGGGATACGGGCCGCGGGCCCAATCCTTCCTTCACTGCCATGGTGTTTTAGCCCTGCGACACGGTCCTTGGACTCCAGCTTGGACCGAAGCGGTGCAGAACGAAAGCCGGCTCCAGGAGGACACGAGCAGGGTGGCAGTTGGCAGGGCAGAAACGCAGGAAAAGTCAAGGTTTGGAGCTAGTTTCTAGTCGGTTCAGAAAGTGACGTTTGGCAGTCTGGGATACGGGCCGCGGGCCCAATCCGTCCTTCACTGCCATGGTGTTTTAGCCCTGCGACACGGTCCTTGGACTCCAGCTTGGACCTAAGCGGTGCAGAACGAAAGCCGGCGCCAGGAGGACACGAGCAGGGTGGCAGTTGGCAGTGCAGAAACGCAGGTAAAGTCAAGGTTTGGAGCTAGTTTCTAATCGGTTCAGAAAATAACGTTTGGCACTCTGGGCTACGGGCCGCAGAACGAAAGCCGGCTCCAGGAGGACACGAGCAGGGTGGCAGTTGGCAGTGCAGAAACGCAGGAAAAGTCAAGGTTTGGAGCTGGTTTCTAGTCGGTTCAGAAAGTGACGTTTGGCAGTCTGGGATACGGGCCGCGGGCCCAATCCGTCCTTCACTGCCATGGTGTTTTAGCCCTGCGACACGGTCCTTGGGCTCCAGCTTGGACCGAAGCGGTGCAGAACGAAAGCCGGCTCCAGGAGGACACGAGCAGGGTGGCAGTTGGCAGTGCAGAAACGCAGGAAAAGTCAAGGTTTGGAGCTAGTTTCTAGTTGGTTCAGAAAGTGACGTTTGGCAGTCTGGGATACGGGCCGCAGGCCCAATCCGTCCTTCACTGCCATGGTGTTTTAGCCCTGCGACACGTCCTTGGACTCCAGCTTGGACCGAAGCGGTGCAGAACGAAAGCCGGCGCCAGGAGGACACGAGCAGGGTGGCAGTTGGCAGTGCAGAAACGCAGGAAAAGTCAAGGTTTGGAGCTAGTTTCTAGTCGGTTCAGAAAGTGACGTTTGGCAGTATGGGATACGGGCCGCGGGCCCAATCCGTCCTTCACTGCCATGGTGTTTTAGCCCTGCGACACGGTCCTTGGACTCCAGCTTGGACCTAAGCGGTGCAGAACGAAAGCCGGCGCCAGGAGGACACGAGCAGGGTGGCAGTTGGCAGTGCAGAAACGCAGGTAAAGTCAAGGTTTGGAGC